AGGACACTGCAGTCTGCAGTCAAAAGAAAGAGCATGCTGTTTTAACAGCAGTAAAACCTGATGCATTGGAAGAGTGTTTATGTGTGACCTCTATGTTAACAGAGAAGTTAAGAAGGACGCTAGTTTTGCAGAGTGCCTCTATCTCTGTTCAGTCCAGGGACTTGGCAAGAAAACTGCCAGCTTGTCAGTCATTACTTTCTTTGTAGTTTGAATTTGTTTTTCTTCTGATTTCAGGAACCAATCCTTCCCTGAGCTTTGTTCTTCATAGTCTCATTTTGGAGACTGTGTCCCATATTAGGAACCCTGCAGTGATATCATAGGATTAACCAGCAAACTCAAATGTAAGCTTGCCAGAGATTTCCACCCTTAAGCCTGTGACCAATCTTGAGTGTCCCATGCTTGGAGATGCAGGCAGGAGGAAAGGGAACTGCGTAGCAGCCTTGGTGCTGGAGCTGCTGCTCTTCTGGCGATGCTGGGGGCTTAGTGATACCCATTTGCTCATACAGTGTACACAAAGGAGCAGCCAGTCACAGCCAACGACCATAAAACTGATTTAGAGACACTTGTATTTCTTCCTAGTCTTGGCTGTACCAAAGCAGTTTGTCCAGAGCAGGTGGTCAGCCTCCTTCTGTACTTACTGGGCTACCTGTGTACAGAAACGAGTAGGGTTTTGGGGGGTTAATCTTTGATATGCCTTTCGTTCTCATCATGCACATAGAAATGGCAGCATGCAGTCCAACACAGAAAAAATGCTTACCTACTTCTAGTAAATGAATAGAGCAAGAGTACTGCTGCTGGTGGTGAAGCTGAGATTCCAGCACATCTCTGTCAGGGCCATTTATCATTCAGATGTACAAAAGTTATACCACTTGATCTGATAAATGACTGTGCTCAGCACTCACTAGAAATTGACAATCTTTCTTGGAAAGCTCAGCTAGATGTCAGTGGAGAAAAACACAGTTGGGAGCCCTGCAGTGTGGAGGAGAAGGTAAATGTATACATGCAGCAAAGCTATAATCAAAGAATCATAGAACCATAAAGATTGGAAAAAGACCTCCAAGATCATCCAGACCAACCATCCACCTACCACCAATATTACCCCACTAAACCACGTCCCTCAGTACAATATCTAAACGTTTCTTCTCTCCTTCCTCAGGGCCACCTCCAGTGCCTTAGAGTGCTTTCAAAGTGATAACACTTGAGATTGTCTTGTGACTGTATTAAAACAGAAAACTTGCAGATATTTTAAATAACCATATTGTTAATCTTATTTCGTTTTCCGTGAAGAGAGCTTGGGTTACAACAGAGGCTGACAAATCTGCTGATTATCATAGAACCGAGTTTGCTTTTAAAAGTAGTGAAAACCTGGTCTTGGCCTTGCAGGTGGTGGATAGAATGCAGAGAAGCAGTGAGGAGGATTGATTCAGTTACTCAGTACTGCTGTGCAGAGCAGCATTTTGCATAACCAATGATCTGGTTACAACCATGTATAAACAGAGGAAAGTGGTACTGTCAGAAGCCTTTAATGATTTCTCACAGCTTCTTGAAACTCCTTTATGTTCAATTCATCATCTCTATCATTCTGCCAGCATGGGTTCTTCTGAACAGCAATTGTCTCAAGCACCAGACTTATATTTCAACAGCAGAGGTGTAACAAGAAGCAGTGGTCACCTGGCTTGACACTATGTTCATTGAGTTTGTCGGAGTGCTCTATGAGGTAAAGCTCTCAAAAAATGGACTGTTTGATCCCCAGAGGGGAGGTGTTTTGATAAAGCTGGCTGTCAAGAATGTTAAGGAAAAATAACTTATTCATTTATGGTCTGAAAAGGCTGACTCAGGTGGTCCCAGTCCTTGGGTGAAAGCTGTGTATATTGCAGAAGAGCTCTGTCTGCAGCACTTTGATCTGCTCTGCACTGTGACCCTGTATCCAGGGCAACTGTTCCTGGATATTAGATATTGAGAAGCTGCAGAATAAATGAGAGGTAGCTGGGAAATAGACAGGTACGGTTCTGTCGGAAGCAATAATGATGAATTGCTGGCAGGTGAAAAGTGGTTGGAAGGAGCACGAGACCCCTAATCCAGAATTTTAGTTTTAAAATACAGAATATGATGCAGTGTACATGTTGAGCAGTAGCAACTTATCAAGACTCTGGGAAAGCCATGAAGTAAATAAAGCATGTATGGAGCAGATATGAAACAAAACTGATTGCTTTTAGTTTATCTTTCTGTAATCTACATTCTTGGCGACCAGCCTTGTAGAGCTTGGTCTTTATATCTCAAGAAATTAATTCTGCCTGGTAACAGCATTTCAGTTATAGATATTTTCTTGTTTAGAGAAATCATTTGTTTTAAAAGTTGTATTCAACAATTTTCAGGCTTGGATTGGTTTCTTTTTTTTTTTTTTTTTTCATTCCTTTGTATATAGTGCAGGACTGCCTTATGGCAGAGGATGGGAAACTTTCTGCTTACTCAATTCTTGTGTTCAGTTTTCAGGTGACCAAAACTTTCTTCCATTTGTGGGTAAATACATCTTTACTGGAAAACTGTCAATCCCTTTGATCTCAAAAACAAGACCAACAGAAAGCATGTCACAGGCACATACCTCTTTGCAAGTTCGTCATATTTCATTGTTTCTTGCTTTAATCATCAGCTTAAATATATCAAAATCCTTAGGCTGAATAGTGCCTAAAAACCTAATATGCAAGTAAGAATAAGGGACTCATTAATTTACTTAACCATGAGAGGCTGCCTGAGCATTATCTGGGAGCTTTTATCGACTCACCTCCACCAATTTTATTTGTCTGGGGATAGGGTGAAAATAATGCTGCCATAGACTGTGCATCCAAAGTCATAGGTTGGAGTGTGGCAGAATTAGAATGAGAGGGGATGAATAACTGCTTGAGACACACAGAGTCAACCCCAGCATTGTCTTTATGTATATCATTGCCACATATATAGCTATGTATGCCACTGTCATGGAAAAATCGAAGCACTATTGTGCTTTGAATAGAAGATTCAAAGCATAGATATTCTGGCTGAACTTATTTTGTCTGAGTATCAGGATGGTACTGGGCCTTGAGGAGGGGCTGAGCTCAAATGTGTGGTGAAGAGCACAGCAGAGGTAGCACTATGTGACCTGGGTGGTGCCAAAGGGACAGACCCTATAGGAGGGCACAAGAGTGTGCTGCTGGCTGCTGAAGGAGCACCTGGTGGTACTGCATTACCTGGGCATGCTCTTTGCTTGTTTTCTGTACACCTTAGCACTCTTGTTACAGAGGGGTGACTTTTCACCTTGCATAGATACATAGAAAATTTTGGTAACATTATGCTTCAGAAATCTCTTAAACTTAAGCCATATGAAAAATACACATTACCACTGACAGCACCAGACAACACTAAAAAACTTCAGTGCGCTTATAATTCTACCTAAACTGACACTGTTTTTTTTAATTCATAATTAATTAACGTGTTTAGCCATATGTGTAACAGCCCATTTATTTTGATCATGATAGTCAGGCACTTACAGTGAAGCTCATGTTTAACCACTTTGCTGATGAGGCATGGGCTGACAGATGCCGTCTCCCTAATGAGCTGGCTGTGTATTCCTTGCTGGCAGCCACACAGACTTCCTGACTTCTTCTGGAGACCACTAGTGGATATTTATCACCAAATTAGAAGGCTCCGGCAAGCAGCAAGGCTCACCCAGAGAGCAGCTTCACCCCACACAAGAGTAGCTGACTAAAGCCTTATCCACCCTTATTAAGTGCATTAGGTGGGAAGGTTGGTGGCCCTGCATGTGGCAGGGGGGGTTGGAGATTCATGATCCTTGAGGTCTCTTTCAACCCTGTCAATTCTGTGATTCTGTAAGTCTGGGAATGGCAAGGCAGGCTTTGGGAAGCCTGCTTGGAAGGTAGATCTTCAGCACAACAGAACAGGGAGGCTATGGGTCCAGGCAAAAACAGCTAATTATATTCTGTGTTGTTTTTTTATTCTTTTGTACTACTCTGCAAATTTTTCACTTCCACACTTTCATGAATATTTAAATGGATTTCAGGCAGCAATCTCAACTCGCTATACATAGGAAATATTTCTCTTTTTCTGTTGTGCATAATGATAAACTAGATTTAATGATTTCATTACATTCACATTATCTGTTAAATGTAGCTTTCTTAGGAAACTTTCATTGGCGTGTCTGCTGTTGATATTTACTTCCCTAAGTATATTATTTGCTCAGCAATTTCATGGAACAATGAGGTAAAGAGATTTCAGCTTGTCATTTTGGGCAATGTGTTTGTTTTAACTATACCTAGTCTTTGATCCATGGAGTATGATCGGTCATCTGAGCCTCATCAGAATGATTTTTGACTGAATCACTTGTACAGAGAAGAATAGCAGTAGCAAGGGCTATACCTGCAGGCTTTTCCATTTCTGACTATGTCAGGTGGGCTGGACTCAGTTGGGATTTGGTTAGAGTTACAGTGGTGTTATTTTCAAAATAATGTTCAATCTTTTGGGAGTTTTTTTTTCTTCTGTATTGTAAACTGAAGACTTCCATCTTCTCAGCCAGGGGGTGTAATCAGACTTTGATGGTAATAGCATTATGCTGATTTACAGCTCATAAATAGAGGACTTTCTCAGCTGGTTGTGCTGGTTCACACAGTGGAAGCAGGGAATCAACCTGTCTCATCGCACTTCAGCATGCTGTAGGCTCACAAAGGCTTTCCTCCCCAACAGCACTCTCCCAGTGGCCGTGGTGTCACCCTATGAATTCACTGTCTTTCACAACTGCTGGAAGTTTTTGCTCTCTTGTGAGTTGTAATCACCTTGTTGAGCTTTCCAGTGCCACCTTCATTCTTTACAAAACTCATCTCATGTTGACCTTATCTGACATAGAGATAGGAATTTCTTTTGCCCAGTGAGACAGGATAAGTTTCATGCTTCCTGAGCTTATGCATGAAAAACTGTGGCAGTAACGTTCCTCCTTTTTCTCCACACCTTAGGTTTTGGAATGACCACGCCAGCAACAGTGGCTGGGAAAGTATTCCTCATCGTTTACGGTCTATTTGGGTGTGCTGGGACTATCCTCTTCTTCAACCTCTTTCTGGAGCGCATTATCTCCCTCCTGGCATTCATCATGAAGGCTTGCCATGAAAGACAGCTGCGAAGAAGTGGTCTCCTACCTCCCAACTTCCGAAGAGGTTCAGCTATGTCGGGGGTGGGCAGCCTCATCGGCTGGAAGCCATCTGTTTATCACGTGATGCTCATTCTGGGAATTTTTGCCATCACGCTTTCCTGCTGTGCTTCTGCAATGTACACATTGGTGGAAGGGTGGAACTACGTTGACTCCTTGTACTATTGTTTTGTCACCTTTAGCACCATTGGCTTTGGAGATTTGGTAAGCAGCCAAAATGCTGTGTACCAAAATCAGGGATTATACAGATTCGGAAACTTCATCTTTATATTAATGGGGGTATGTTGCATATACTCTCTTTTTAACGTCATCTCAATTGTAATCAAGCAACTCTTGAACTGGGTGTTGAAAAAATTCAGATGCAGATGTTGCCCAAAGTGCCATAAGTCAGGTACCCGCCTTGGGCGTCGCAACGCCATCACCCCAGGAGCCCGCCTGCGCCGGCACAAAATCTCCCTGGAGGCTGATGGGCAGTATGACAGTGATACAGATGGCAGGAGGCTCTCTGGAGAGATGATTTCCATGAGGGAGCTCACGGCGTCCAACAAGGTCTCTCTGGCTATTTTGCAAAAGCAGCTGTATGAGACAGCCAACGGCTACCCGAGGAACGTTTGTATCAATACAAGGCAGAACGGGTTCTCCGCAGGGGTGGGTGCTCTAGCCATCATGAACAACCGCTTGGCAGAAACCAGTGACTCTAGGTAGAGTTTTTGAAGTTCTTTTCATTTCTTTGATAAAAATAAAATGATAATTTCAGGTGGAATTATTGCTGCAAACGATCAAAGTTTTATGTTCAGAGCAGACTCAGTATTCGTTGGGTGTTCGGCAGTTTGGTTTCTTGGGTTTTTATGTCTTCTCCAATATGCAGTAACATCTTGACTGCAATGTCACAATTTTCCCTGGGGGGGTTTTGTGAGGGACTTGGATGTCTTTGATGCGGAATCTGAAGCGTTTTCAGAAGAATGGTGTGTGAGGTTACAACGGTGTCAGAATGGACATCTTACACAGGAGATAGCCTGAACTCTGGGTTTGAATGCATTCTGAGCAAGGTCAGTTCCAGATTCAAATTTGGAGGATTAAGGGTTGTCTAAACCCGTATCTCACTGTTTGTTGGAGTCTGGATCTGGCCCTGAACTTTGCACTTGATGCTCTTGCCAATTCGTCATACCGGGCCTGTATATAACATACACGTAGGTGACTGCAGGTACACCAGCCTTAGGGTGACTGTGCTTCACTTGAATAATCCCGTTGACCTCAGCGGTAGAGGATCAAATTGACTGAACTCCCCTGACAACAAACAATTCTTTTTCAGCCAGTCTTGTCGGAAACACCACGTGCTACCTAACTCTTAAAAGTCAGGAGATTATAAGTCATAAGAAGCATGTTGAAACATGCACAGCTATTCCTCCCTACAGAATAACCTGAAAACATGCAAGAGAAGCCAGCATTCATCTCTGGTGTCAAATGTTTGCATTTCCACTGAAATGTAAGTTAAACTGTTTATTAATGACGTTACTTTTAAGTGAAAATCATCTGCTAAAATGAACGTAGGATCTCTCTGTTGTCATAAATCTTCCACTATGCTGTTGACTACTGTTGCAGAGGATCTTACAAATAATTTAATTGCCATTTTCCACAGGCCTCAGCAATATTTGTTTTCCACAAACCTGACTAAAAGCTGTCCAAATTGATTTTTGGAGCAAAACGTCAGAGGATTTTGTAGATCCTCCAGAAGCCAACTTCTCCAAAATGATTGTGTTAAATCATAAATTGGCCTAGGGTTGTTGCTACTGTTTTAACTCATATTTAATGGTGCTAGCCCAAACTGCTGAGGGAGCATCTTCAAGCAGACCTGGTCTGAGTGTGTGTGTGTTTCAGCTTGATGGATGAGTGCAGAGGCATTCCTGTAAAATAGCTATTATGGATATTTGCAAAGATTTTAATAATTTATTTAATTTCTCTTTTCCGTGCCACTCTTTTAAGGCTGTAAGGAATAAAGTCATCTCCAGATTTCAGAAAGAAATACCACTTAAGGCTGAAGCCACAACGGTCTGAAAAACCTCTTGGATAGTTATAGGCAAGACGATGACTAGTGGTTTGATTGTTGGGGAAAAAATTTGGAAAAGTTGATGGAAAAGGACTAGGAATGTTAGAAATGTTTGAAAATACATCTGTGAGGTTTCATATAGATAACGTCTTAGTTTGTTTTGCGTATGTTTGGGTCTCCCTCATTTTGCTTTCCTTTTAACTTAGAGGAGCACGTGACATTTCAGAATTTAACCTTGGGGAATTAACTTTTAATTTGAGGGTTTGCATACTTTGCATACTTGAGACTGCCAGCTGAAGGGTAGCAGTGATTGCATCTTTTGTCTAAAGGAGAAGGGACCAGAACATTAGACCATTAGACGTGGCTCTTATACCACAATTGTAGTCACAGCTTTTGTGAAGATGTATCTGGCCAGAGTCACTCCGTGATGTTTGCATTCTCTACCTACCTATTACAGAGTTTACAAGTACTTGGTATGGCAGAGGCTGCATTTGAGCAGCCTTCATTTGGCGGGAGCTTCTGTGGTTGCAGAGACCCCCAAAGCTACATGGGTCTGTATGCACTCCATCTCAGCAGCTGCATTTGAGTGTTGAGCTTGTTCATTAAGAGCATGTATATATAGCACACTGCTTTCTTTGAAGCTAGACCTCCCTTTAGGATCGTATCGTGGTTCCTTTGCCATTGCTGGGACTGTTGCTCATTGAGCAGACCCTGCTGTGTGAAGTGCTGCATAAGTAGAAGCAGGTGGGCTTTATTGCAGCAGAATTGCTTAGGTTTATAGTTGTAAAAATGAGTTCAAATGCATTAATGTTCTGGGAACTCAAGTGCTAAATCTTTATGATAACAAAATTGCAAATTAAGGGTTTTTATTTTTTCAGTAAGTTGTTTTTAAAAGATAACTATTATAACTGCAATTAGGATTTTGTTTAAATGTTTGTAAATTGTTTTCAAACTACCTACTTCTGGCAGGGAAGTGTGAATTAATGTGAAATTGCTCATACACCTCCTCTGCCATTCCTGCACTTTTTCTGAGCCCAGTCAAAGGCAGACATGCTCTGTGATTTACATGTTTCTGGTTCCGATTGCCTTTTGTCTGACTTGGATGCCAGCCTGGACTCCTGAGCAGGAGCACTGCAGGACGCTTTGCAGGTCCTGCCAACATTAGGGGGAGATGGATTGGCTCTTAGAATTGGGCTCCTCAAGGGCTTTGGGCAACTGATCGCTACTCTGTGCGCTTATGTGCAATGTCTCATTACTCCTGAGATCCTTCAAAACCTCCCTTCGCTTCTCCTTAGCCTCAGAGGGATGTAAAGAAAGCACATGCCCTGATTTCTGCCAGTGGCCCTATTTCTTGCAGTGCATGTATACCCACGTACTAACATGACTCAACCATAGGGCTCCTCAGCTTGTGTCTAAGCCCCATAAAAATCTCTAAGCCCCTCTGGCTCATCAAACCCAGTCCTGACAGGGCTTGGAGCCTGGCTATTGCAAGGGGTCTCACTCACAGAAAGGAGTGGTCTTATGGTTCCCTCATAGTCAGTAGTATTTTTCAGGGATGCATGAAAACTTGAAAGGTGGGCCCAGATGAATCTAATGAGGTTCAACACAGCAAAGTGCAAGGTTTTGCTTGGGCCAGGGGAATCCTAGGGATATATACAGACAGGGAGTGGCAATCCTTGAGAGCAGGCCTGCAGAGAAGGACCTGGGGGTCCTGGTAGAGGAAAAACTTAACGTCAGCCAGCAGTGTGCACTTGCACCTTGGAAAGCAAATGGTATCCTGGGCTCCATCAGAAGAGGGGTGGTCAGCAGGGAGAGGGAAGTGATTGTTGGAGAGGATTCAGAGGGCCACAAAGATGATCAGAGGGCTGGAGAACTTCCCCTGCAAAGCCAGGCTGAGGGAGCTGGGCTTGTTCAGCCTGGAAAAGAGAAGGCTGTGGGGGTGATGGGAGGGGAATCAACTCTTTACAAGGGTAGATAATGGCAGGATAAAGGGAAATGGTTTCAAGTTGAAGGAGGAAAGCTGTAGGAGGAAGTTCTTTACCAAGAGAGTGGTGAGGTGCTAGAACAGGCTGCCCAAAGAAGTTGTGGATGCCCTGTCCATCCCTGGAGGTATTCAAGGTCAGGTTGGATGGGTCCATAGGCAACCTGGTCTAGTATTAGATATGGACATTGGCAACCCTGCTTGTGGCAGGGGTGTTGGAATTTGATGATCCTTGAGATCCTTCCAACCCAGGCCATTCTATGGTTCTATGAAAACTGAGCTCCATATCCCCACTCTTCTGTGGACTAGCACTGTCTGGGCATTCAGTACTGATGTGCATGAGCCTGCGAGCCAGGAGGATGTGAAGGACTTGGAACCAATCCTTTGTAGTCCCTCCTTCTCTTTCTTCAGCTTTCTTAGGGAATCTTCTCTTAAAACTTGCAATGCTGGAGTATCTAACTCCTTCCCTCTTATACTGTGTGTGGTTAACTCAGAATTCCCCAGGGCAGCCTGTTCCTTTTGTTAATTAAACCCTAAATGTGCTCTGGATGCACCAAGTAGAATTCCTCCTGGTATTTCTTTGCAGACAAAGCAGACACCTGCAATACCCAGACACAGACTGAAGCACAAGAAATGAGAAGGAAGCTGAAGGAGCAAAATGGGAAAATGAAAGCACACTGCACTAGACTGCACTTTCTTTTCAGGTAACTTGGGATTTGTACTACAGTCTTGAATAGTTTTTTCTAGGTTCTATTTTTGGACAGCCAAAAAGTTAGCTTAGAATCAGATAGTTCATCTTATATTCACTCCTCTCATTTTCCTGCTGCATCACACTCAGACAGTTCCACTGCCTGATGAGCAGCTGTACAGGCAGCAGAAACTCTAATTAACAGGTGCCTGTACCCCATGGCTATATTTGAGTGGTGGATGTATGGCCAAGGCCACTGGCTTGGTATAAATCTGATGGCCTATGGGATGAAGTGATAATTACACAGAAATGACCCACTGCAGTGAGATCATTCTTAACCTTTTTGTTTCTTTTTTCTAACTTTTTCTCTTAAAAAATAGTGACTAATTATTTATACAATGAATGTTCAACACTAATTTAAACAAAGTCATATTTAGTGCAGTGCTGTTTGCTAGGGAGATCTACAGATGTGGCTTCTGCTCTCATTGGATTACTAATGTTCCTTTCCAAATCAACACACATTTTCAATATCGTATTTAAATCATACAGTAGAAGTTACCTTATGTGGTAAATTCAGTCAGGCACAAATATGTGACTCTTGCAGGATAACTAATGAAATGTGCAGTGTGCACTGTACAACCCATCTGCAAACCCTTCACCTCTGTACATGTTGGGTTTGTTCCTTACAACCATGGAATGTTTTGGGTTGGAAGGGATCATACAGATCACCTGGCTGCAGGCACCCTGCCTTGGGAAAGGACAGACCGTATGGCTATGGATGCTTGGCGATGTAGGATGGGAAAGAAAATAGCAAACGTACCTGCATTGATGTACACTGCCATCTGTTGACTCCTTTTACTTCCAAAGCCCTGAGATGGTCCCACTTGCAGTGCTCCTGCTGTATGCAGAAGAATGGGAAGTGTGGGGAAAGGGAGACAATCAGAGGTATTTTCCAAGTAATGCAGGAGGAAAAAAAAGCAGTCTTCGCTTTTGGTACACATGTGCATCATGTTCCATCAAAAAACCACAGACAACACCACAGCTCGAAGTTGCTCCTGTTGCACCACAGGCTCATGTGGACCATCTCTGTGTGAGATGCAGAGGAAAGGCAGAGGGCTGCATGCTTACATATGCTACGCTCCATCCAGCAGGCGAGCGCTGCAGGGCCAACCTGGGGAAGCTGACGACCAGGTGTACTGCTGGAAAGGCAGCCACGCCGTTCCATGGCTCAGATGAGCAACATGTTAGGTACGCTGCAGGTCCTTATTTCAACACCTTGGCTTCCCTTCAGTCCCAGCATCTACACTGTGCTCAGGCAGGGGCCAGCCAGCCCCCAGCCTGCTCCAAGCGTGGGGCACGAGGACGGAGGACATCAGTGGGTTCTGAGCTGTGCAGCATCACAGCCCAAGTGCTTTCAGGATCAGATCATCTAAGAAATGTGAATGAGATGTTCCTGTGACCCCCTCACATATCACAAACTGTAAGGCAGCAAGTCGATGCAAAATGACTGCTTATAAAAACACAAAATCACCAGTAATTCGGGCAATGTGCAATTCAAACACCAAGTGTGTTCTCAGTGCTTGTCATCTCCTGATGTTTCTATTAGGGAATCAGTTGTAGTCCCTGGAAGTAAAATCCATCTGGCTGTGGGCAATAATTCATCTCATTTCATGGTAAAATCCTCAGCAGCAAAAACCACTACAGCCAAAAAATATTTTGGACCATTTTGTTGTGTATGCACATACTGTTTATTTACCAGGAAAAAAAAAAAGCTGTCCCTTTACTTACACAGACACAAAACTTCAGCTTATTGGGAGGTATCTTTCTGCACACTCTGCAAAAGTAATAGCTGCAAATTTCAAGCCAATACAAAAGGACTCAACTGTGAAAAGAACATGTCTGCTCAAAGGTATTCCTGTTTAATTCTTATTTTTACAGGCACACAGCTTCATAGGTATCTGTAACTGAGCTGCTGTTATTATTTGTTATGGTGAACATCAGAGGAACTTTGCTTCTGTTAATTTCTCTGGGTTTGGTGTTTGCTGACTGCTGTGTTTCACTATGTGAACTGGGGAAGGAATGCCCATCCACTCTGGTTTCCTGGTGGCATCACTTACCCCTTTGCATTCATTGCATACATAAATTCCTGTAGTTGGTTGATGAGTACCGATATTTGTTCTCCTTGAAATGATGCTTCCCAGCAAAACAACACACTGAAATAAGTTTGAAGATTGAAGTCGGTTTAAATGATTGACATTTTAAAAATGATTTAATTCTGGGTTGACATCCAGCACACCCAGTAATTGTGAGTGCTTTTATCACCCAGCTGATTTTCAGTGTCAGCTCAGGATTTTCCCAGGATAAGATCTCTGAGCACAGAGGACTAAAAGCCATACTCATCTCACTCTACTGGTATGTTATATACAGCTTGCCACCAAACGGAGCAGACATGTTTGGCTCCCTTCATACATGGTTAGAAATGGCGCTGGGATCGTTGCCGTGAAGCTCTTACAAAGACTCTTGAAATAAACAGGAGAAAACATTGCCTGGAGGACGTGTGTGAGTGTTCTTCTTTGTGGAGCCAATGCTGAGGGTTCTGCTTCAGTTTCATTCTCTTTTCTCACTCAGAGGTTGGTGAGGTCCTGGCACTGCTGCCCAGAGCTGTGGTGCCTCATCCCTGGAGGTGCCCAAGGCTAGGTTGGATGGCCTTGGGCAAACTGAACTGGTGGGGGCAGCCCTGCCCACAGCAGGGTTGGGGCTGCATGGGTGTTAAGGTCCCTTCCAATCCAAGCCGTCCTGTGACTCTCTCTCAGGAAGAATTTTCTCCGCGTGTGCTGTGTGTTCATCCAGCAGTGCAACAGGCGCTCACACTGCACGGTGCCACCCAGGAAGAGCTGCAGGACCCAACCTCTGCTCAGCCACAAAGCAGAGAGCAGATGGAGGCTGTTTGCTCTCTATGTGGTTTAAGGAACTGCTGCTGTATCTCCCCAGGTTTCATTCAGATCAATAGGATGCTTCTGTGCAGGGTATTAAGATAAACTCAGGAAGTTTTGCTACCGATTGAAGAGAGACATTAAGAAAAAAATCAATCACACCGCAAACAGAGAAATGTTACTGCCTTGAATTGGAGGTTTGCTAATCACGCTAGGCAACATGGAACCAAAGGAGAAACATTTCCAGTTCAAAATCCCAGTCAAGTCCTACACGTCTGCCCCCACCTCTGTATCTCACTGAAATAAGCCCCAGCCAAAGCCAGTGCCCAGCTTCTGTTGCAGCTGGGCCAGACACACCACCTATGGACACTGATTGACAGCTCTTGCCTGCCAGAACGCACACGAAATTGTTTCCCTGATAGGCAGGGGAAAGGAGAGAGAGGGACAGCCAACGGAGCTGTGCTGGAAAGAAGTGAGAGGGGAGCTGCCAGCTGCTTAGTGCTGAGCCCACTGCCACTCAGCATGGATGCTGCTGCTATTAGCATCGCTTCCCTGGGGTTTGTACAGGGTCCCTACCTCAGTCTTGTTACATCATTGTGGATTTGCAGTATTCTCGCCCATGCAAAACCAGACCAATTAATCTGGATTATGTAGGGAGGTTAAAACTCATTCCTGAAATCACTGCAAATCAGGTAAAACCCATCAGCAGTTATACAGGAACAGGAGCCAACATTGGAAGAGATTGTTCATACCCATATAATGAGGCTGAATCATTGCCCGTGGCTCTTCATGACTGTAAGTAACGTTTTAGTTTTTACCAATCTTTATATTTTTCATTCATCTTCCAAAAATGTAGGTGTAACTCAGCAACCTCATGAGAATCAGCTGTGCTATTACACAGGAAATGAAATATTTCTTGATAGATCTAACAAGTGATGGGAAACATTGCTGTGAGATCTGTGAGATCATTAAAACAGAAATTACCCTGCACTAAGAATGGGTTATTGGCAGCAACAGGCTGTGTGCACAGTGCCTTAGAGGAAAAAAAAAAAGAAAACACGAGCCATCAGGAATTATTTCTTAGAGACTGTTTCCCTCTGAAGTGCAATTACCTTCCTCAAACACAGCATTATCAATAGTTAGAAGCCCACGGATGAATAGATCCTCTACCATTTTCCCTTCCGCCACTGTAATTGCTGCCTGTAATTTCCAAGCATCTCAGGAACAGCCATAAGCTGATACTTGAGACTCTGAGAAGTTTTCTTCATGCTTATTTCCTATCTGTTGCATACAGAAACTCAAATGCCAGAGATTCAAGGACTTGTCTACCACAACATGGGAGTTCTACACTAGCATTAGAACTTAAGAACTGCTCCTTGAGCCCAGACCAACATCTTAGGCAGCAAGTTTCTCTATTTGGGATGATAACAACTGGAGAGTCCCCACCCTACAGCTCCTGAGCACTTGGTCTCCAACAGAAACTGGTAGCATCCAGCATTTTCCAGGTGCTTCCAAGCTGGGTGCTTTCAGGTGGGAGCAGACATACTGCCTTGTGACAGCAAAGCTTGTGAAATAGGACGGCAGGGCCACAGTGATGAGAAACTGGAGAGCATGATTAAAGGCAAGTGAAAGAGGTGAGGGATGTTGTCATTCATAGCACCAACAGCACAAATCCTGCCGTCCTGTGTGTATCAGCTAGGAATAAGGCAGCAGTCAAAAAACAGCTCAGTGGGATTTTAACAAAACATCCGTTTATCAAAGTAATCCTATAAAAAGCATAGCTCTGGCTTTTGAAAATGGCAGTGAAAAGACAGCTGCATCAATCAGCACTCTTACAAGCTATCAGGAGAATTACTTTCATTTTTTTACTTTCTATCTAAGCATCGAACAGTCAATGCACTAACTTTTTAGTTATTTTTATATGCTATTATCTCTCAAGCTGAATGCATTTTGATCTCTATTGCTTTGCTGTAAAAGAATTACTTCAAAAGAATGTATGAAAACTACCATTAGGGATCATTCATTCTTTTCTGGTTGGTTTCACCTACAGAACAGCAGAGAGGACACAGAAATCAAATTGAGGGCTGTGGACAGGCAGTGCTGAAAATCCCTAGAAATATCATAGCCACTTTGCTGCTCGAGCACACCAGTTCATTTTCCAAGGCAACTGGAAAAGTCACCAGTGCCTTTTCATCACCCTAGCCCTTCCCTGACACAGCTCCGTGCCGTCCCCTCAGGCCCCATTGCTGTCACACAGAGCAAAGCTCTGCACTGCGAGGAGCTGCAGGCTGCCATGAGGTCTAACGCCATCAGCATTGCCTTGGGCTGAGCCAAAGGGCCTTTTGGGCTCAGGCACCCAAGAACATTTTCCTGGATGCCCTTCAAGCGAAACCAAATAAATACATAGCAACTCCAACAGAGGACACTTAGGAAATGTTTTCTAAAAACGTAATTTCATTAAAGGGTTTTAAGGAAATTGTCTTCACTCAAAAAAAAAAAAAAAAAAAAGTGAGGAGAAATAGTGTCAAGCCAGGACTTGGTGACGGCTCTCTCCCTCTGAGCCCCTTGGCCCACAGGCGGTCACGGGAGCCTCAGTCCAACTTTCAGGCTCACTTTGCTTCCCCCCTACACTGGCTGACCCCTGATGTCTAACTGCTTCTCCCTAGGGAGCACAGAGACCAGACCTGGGGGCTACAGCATCATTCAGCACTGCCAGTCGTCTTTGCTCTCAAATCTTTCCGAACCTCAGAAATTACAGCAGGGCATTATCAGTTTCAGCCCTATATCCTTCAGCATTATTTCTACTATCCCACCAGTGGTCAGTAAACCACATCCACAGCCCTAGGAGCACAGCTGCCCAGACCGAGCTCCAGCTGCCAACATTTACCTCAAGTCACCCAGATGCAGCCAGACGTCACAGTCCATGGGGCCTCAGGTCCTGCAGGGTCCCAGCATGGATCTCTCTGCCCCTCCTGCTCAGTGGGTCATTTTCTTGTTGGAGTAACTCCTGATATTAGCTGCTGGCTCATGCCCCTGAGGCAGTAGAATTTATTACAGTTGAACAGGAGATCAATACACAGTGTAACTAAGATAGATGGCTGCAGGTTCTCCTAGTCCGTGTTGCCTCTGCTGGGAGATGTTGAGTGCCGTACCAGGAGCTGACTCCTGCTCCTGGTCCTCTTCCGTTTTATGGCCACATTTACAGTAAATTACAATGAGGGTTTTGTTAAGAAGTTAAGAGCCCTCTGGCTGTGCATGCTTCATATTTTCATTTAATTACTGCTTTGCTCTTTTTTTTTTCCTCTTAATTAACCAAGAAGTTCTTGTCTAATGGACTGAACCAAAGTGAGGCAAGAGAAAACAGCAGCACCCATTCAGGTTCTTCACAGCAGTTCAGCGTTAAGTGATGCTGAGGCTGACATTAAGTGACAGTCAGACACACCCCCACAGACCCCATTCTGCTTGTGCACTCAGTACAGACAGATGCTTCAGAGTGGCCCTGATCTGGACACACAGTATTCTTCCCTACCTGTAGTCCCCCAGTCCCACCCAAACCAACACACACATCTAATTACCATAGGGTTAGAGACAAGCTCTGTGTAAAGCCTGAGCCCAAGGGCAGCACCACATGCTGATTTGTGCTGTTACAAAGGCAGTGGCCAAAGTGCTGGAGATGTAGAGCCATGTATTGAAAGAACAAAAACAGGGACTCTACTTCTCCCCAAAGTAGCAGTGGTACCAGCTGCTCCTGGGTTCCTCTGGTTTAATGGGCAGGTGCTGGCTGTACTGATAGCCAGAACACTCCTGAAGAGAGACTGTCCTAGGTGCCGTGGCTACAGCAACTCTGGGGTTCACACCAAGCACACCTCACACACCTCCCTCTCCAGGAAAGGCCAAAGAGCACACTTTTAGGCATTATCTGCAAATATCAGATAAGTGTACCGCTTACAGTGCTCCCCTTAAAACTCTCATACACATAAAACATCTTTAAGTTGCCTGGCACCTCACCTGGTTTCTTCGGACAGGGAAATCAAAGTCACAGTTTATTCTTTCTCGTGTAGGCAGAATAAATGAGCATCTGGTCACTGACTGTACCTCCAGCCCTCATTGCGCTGCTGGAATCGCTCTGAAATCAGTACTTAAGAGAAATGGAACCACTGAGAATGATCAAGAACAGAATAGCACAGACCCATGGACTAAACCAATAGGCACTAATCTCGGGGCAGGGAGGGGGAACAAAACAAAACAAAAGCCACCCAGCCATGCAGGTGTTTTGCTTGTAGTCCACGGCTCGCTTCATAAATGCTTGAAGTTTTCATGGAAACTCCCAACAGGTATATCCAGTCTTGGTGACTTTAACAAAAGGTAATGACATCCTCACCTTGTATCAAACCAGATAAAACTGCACACACAATCCTGGACTTTAGCAGAGTATCTCCAGAATGACAAGCTCCCATGCAGGCTCCACTAAATCTGGAAGGATTAGAACACCAGCACACTTGGCTGCTTTTACAGTGTTTATGAACCTGGACCAGCTGCACAAACTAAGCTCAGACAGGAGTTGGCAAGCACAAAGCCACGTTCACAAAGGCCATGCCAGCAACTGGCCTGCTGCTCATGAGCAGGTGAAAGCAGAGGATGAACCACAGGGATCTGAAGGTCTCTTAGGGTTGAAATTCTTCTCCAGCCCATGTTTAGTGCCATCTGTCAGTGGGCAAGGACTCAGCTTGATGCTGTTCCTGTAATTTCTGATTCCAAATCAACCTTGATTCCAATGAAGAGATACAGAGTCACTTATCAAATGCACTGTTATGTGAGATGAACTTGCACAGCTGCAAGTAAGAATAGTTACGTACAGATATGATATGCACAGCTGAGTCCCAGCAGTGGACAACTGCTTTCTCTGGGTTCATTAGCTTAATCCTCCAGCTGTATCTGAAGCACACTGACACCAAGCAGCTCACCTGCTTTTGACTGCAAACCAAAAGGCAAAACAGTGTCATCTTCTTCCACGCTGGTAGGTTGCCAGTCACTAAAAGGTGGGTGGGAAAGTAATCAAAAAAAGCAAATTCTTTCAGCGTTTGATCACATCTGCTCTTTTATTTCAACTCACCTAATGCCATTTGCATCCTTCATAAGGAGCCTTGTAGATAGAACAATAACTGCACAGACTAAAAAGACCACACCTGCAGTAGGAATACAGTGCCAAGCTTTCTCAAGCAAACGAAAAACTTGCAGTTTTATTTGAAGCTGAACATAAGGGGCCCCACTGCCCCTCAACAGCTCCATTGTTTTGTTCTGAAGCTTTGATGTTCTTTGTGTTCTTGTCGCAGTTCTGTAATAACTGGAGCAGGCCAGGAATTGTTTCTGCTTTGTAGGTATGTTTCTGAAAGAAAAGCTAAATTGGAATTAGCAAAAATAGCCATCCTCCTGCACACATGAAATCACACTGTCTGTAACCCAGTTTGCAAGCCGCAGTGACATATGGAGACTAAAGTGAGCCCCATCCTCTCTCGCCTATATGCGGCGGCAGCAGCACAGCCAGGGACGGGGGACAGGGAAGTGCAGCACAGACGGAGGATGAGGTGATGAGTTTTAAAATCCCGTCACCTTGCAGCTTGCTTCTTTGTGAACACTGAAAAGCATGAGGTGAGAGCAAACGAATGGAATCCTTTTGGTTGGTGGGATGCAAAACTTTTTTGTGGTACAGAGGCGTGCTGAATAGAAGTAGAGATCTCAGAGAATAAAAGTAGAAAGACGGGTCAAAGCAAACAAGCAGCAGTCCTTCCTGCACACAATAGCTCAGTGAATGAGGAACATCTTAGCAGTGTTGTAGACACAGAGAGTTTGGACATAGTCATGGGGAAAACAGAGACATTCCTGGAAAATACCCTTCTATCATGGCTGTTGCTCTGGTTAGGGATGGCACACTGAGGACATCTCTGGCATGACTCAGGACAGTTAGATTACAGGTACCAGACACCTTTCCCAAATTCTAGCCTAACAACAAAAAAATGCTACCCAACAGCAAGCTGAACAGCACTAAGCATTCCAAGAGGGAGCATAAAGGAGTTAATGCAGACTGCTGCAAGAGAGCAAGCCCTGATGCAAAGATGTAGCAGCAGTACACTGTCCCCAGCACACACCCACTGATGTCATCTCTGCTACAGAACACAGCAAGAATTTTCACGGTATTTTTGGCATCGTTTTATTCCCATCTCTAAATGATAAATATCTTTTCCCATCAATCTTTCAGCACTGCCAGTCTTAAATAAAGGTGAAGCATTCTAGAACTACAATTTAAAATGCTGAATTTCCAGTACATAAACCTGTATCCAAATGCTTTTAAAATGTCTCAGTGTCAGTAGTAGCAGATAACAATCTGTGTTTCTTTCTTCAGACATCACAAACCACAACCAACTCAGAAGTTTCTGTTCAACTGTAACGTCGCCTCAGCCTATGCGTGTCTTACATTCCCTGTTGGAATGCTACAGGAGAACTGGAGAGGGACTTTTTATAAGGGCAGGTAGCAACAGGATGAGGAGAAATGATTTTAAACTTTAAGAGGGTAGATCTAGACTAGATATTAGGAAGAAATTCTTTACTGTGAGGGTGATAAGACACTGGAACACGTTGTCCAGAGAGGCTGTGGATGCCCCCTCCCTGGAGGCATTCAAGGCCAGGCTGGATGGGGCTGTGAGCAGCCTGGTCTAGAGGGAGCTGTGCCTGCCTATAGCAGGGGGTTGGAACTACATCATCTTAAAGGTCCCTTCTAACACAAACCATTCTATGATTCCACCAAAGCTCCACCTGGGTACTCCTGTAAATTTTATGATGATTTTTTCTAATGGAGCACTAATAGAGCATTACTAAAACTTTATCAAATTAATCAACATAATTGTATGGGATAAAGATTTTGTGTATATGAGATGCTGTTTTTCAAGTCTGTGACAGTTATATGCTATCTGAAGGGTTATCCTTAATGGCACACTTCTGTTCTGGCAAAAGATTATATGATTTGAATAATTCTTTCAATACAAAAAAAAAAAAAGCATTTTATTGAAGATTTCTAAGAGAACACAAGAAATGGGAGCTAAAGCAGGAACCTGGTAAAGAATGGGTGCAGAATTTTAGTTTTTTAACAATTACAATTCAAAAAAAAAAAAAAACCTACATAAATCCATACAAAGCATTATCACACATAAAAACTATAAAACAAGAAAATGGTAGTTCTTGCAATCAATTTTAAAAAAAAAACAACTTCAAGAGCTGCATCCTGTTTTCACATCTTTCATGGTGTAACTTTTGTTCTGGAAATGATTTCATTCACGAAACTGTTGTTCTTTGCCAACACATCAGCTCTCAGCTGCTTCAGCTTGGTTTTGATGTCTTCTTCTGACATATCTGTCAGGGGCAATGCTTTCACTTGACAGAGAAAATCCTGAATGATCTTTTCACCTTCCTAAAACAGAGTGAGGGGAAGGATGGGAAAAAGAAAACAAAAAGAATTGTTACACTGCAAGCAGGTTATTTCCAAATTATGCCAAAAATACAAAGTCCTATTCAGCATCAGGAGCTTTTCACAGACAAACCTTGCTATTATGTATAATCCTGTTATACTGTTTTGGGGAGTTCTTTCCCCTTTCTATCCATGAGCAAAAACTATGAGTTTATTGACAGAGACTAATTTTAATACTGAGAGCTCCTATGCATGTTTCACATTTAATTCCATCGTGTAACCACATCAGGAAAAAATTGCTAGAGCAGCAATGGCTTGGGAGAGGCTATGTTACTTTTTGGATGAACTGTAAATCCGAATCAACATTTCCATATGCAAAAAGATAGAGCAAACTGTTACCAAGCAACTGGAGAGTGGCTGTCACCACTGAGAAGAGATGATAATTAAGCTTCATGCATATGCTTTTACACAAATAGGCAAAGTACAACTTTTAAACAGCTTGAATAGTGAGAACAAACATGTCAATGGACAGTGTTCAGGATTCCTGTATCAGAAACAATTTGGCCTGAACACAGATTTCTGCTTAGTCCTCTATGTTTTCTACAGTAATACTCTACTACAAAGCATTTGTACTTTAATATTTAGATCTGATGCAAAGTGCTTTCAGGGCAGAAGTCTCCAAAGCATTGGAAATATAATAGCACGGCTGTCTCCTCGAACATGATGTGAATAAAGGCAGACAAATTGTGTGGAGAAGACCTCTAACACTATGTGCTTCGAGAGTTTATGATCTATTATTTACTATCAAATATATTATGAACTGTCAAAGAATAAAACATGACACTGTATTTGTCAGAGCATTTGCCACATCTGTTTAATTTATAATCAGTTTAAAATCATGCAGCCAGATCCAACTGAACTGGAAAATACTCCACCATGATACCTAGCAAGTTGGCATATTGGACATAGTGCTGCTGATGCAGTTGGAGGGAACTTCCTAATACCAACTGGCAGGACAAACCAGAGATCATTCACCAATAAGGTGAGATTCTTACTGAGCCAAGAACACATGCGTGGACCACCAAAACTGAAAATAAAGGAGCAGCCTTTGCCTAAAGTAAAGTGTTTTTTAATGTAGAAAGTGCTTACAGAAGATTAGCACTTCAAGGCTTCCACATAATGAAGAATTACCAAGGTTGCAATTGTTCTATAAAAATGAAAAATGAGTTACAAAGCCGCCAAGTCCTCAGGCCAGAACTGAGATCTGTTATCAGATTGATATGCTTATGTTAAGAAAGGCACAGAGAGCCTATCAGGAAAAGGCAAAGCAAATAGTAGGACAGCATGTGCTTTGGGAAAATCTGAGTCCTAAAACTATTTTCCTCAGGCTACCCCATGTAAACAAATGGGTAAAAAAATGCTGTTAGTAAACCTCTCTTTCTCTGTAGCATTTCTTGGCTGCTGGCTCTCCTTCAGATTCCTTGGGCCTGCCAATGTCTTGAAACTCCTCCAGTTCCAGTGCTTTCTCTCTTGCACTTTCTATCACATGTTTTGGGAAAGCTGCCAACTCTGCTACATGTATTCCAAAACTCTGGTCACAAACACCTGGGCGGAGAGAAAAATAACCTGTAAAGAATTCTCAAGAAACAACTGGCCTACACAGAGATTATACAAACTAATACGTAATAATTTTCCGTTCTGAAGGAGTTTGTGTGTGATGTGTGGTTTGGTCTTCACAGTGCTCTTTTTATTTCGTTTTTGGGCTATATATGATATGATAACAGAGATTAAGAATATGCTCTCATTAAATTAAGCTCTCCTGGAACAGTAACTGCAGACCTACAGAAGTCCTTTGAGGAGAAAGGGAAAACGCTCTGCAGGCAGAACAAATTTCCCTTTAGTGCATGAATGAAACTGAACAATATTTTTTTTTTAATTAAAGTGCTTCAGCACAATCTGTGGAAAATAATCATCTGCACCGTTTATAAAAAGATGTAAGAAGTGCATTTAGACCCATACATAAAGATGCTCTGGTGTATTCTCAATCCTCCTCCTCCTCCTCTGCGTCAGTACCACACAGCTTCCTAGCTTCCAGGAAGAGTTTAATTATATCAAAACCTTTCATCTCTAAGTTTACACTTACTTCAATTAATACCCTGTTCATAACACTGAGTTGAGAACGAAAGTTCTCACACTTGCTCAGAATATGTCAATTATACACGGTTACATAAAATCATTTTCACTTCAATATCAAAAGCTATTCTTTTATATCACCATCATTTTGAGTGGCCACCCACAAATATTACATCTATCCTTTTAGTTCTGGTCTCCAGCAAAAAGTTATAATAAATTAATTACACATTTTAAATGACAACTAATCATCTGCTAAATACTGGGTAACTGAAGAAAAGGCAAAGAAAACAATAGTATTTAGACCTTTTCTGTTTCACTAACTATACACAGGTTTGTTTTGTTTTTTAAAGAAAATTACTATTTTTAAGCAGACATTTGTTTTCTTGATTTTGCTTTAAGAACACACATCTACACAAACAAAGTTAACTCCAGTTTCTGCTGATAGAATCCTGGAACTGAGGCTTGGAGGACTGTACCCAGTTTTTCTTTCACATTCACAAATAATGAAGAGCAGAAGGAAAATACTACACACTTCCTTATCGTGCACTTTAGATTTAGTTATAGATTGCAAATTAAATAAAAGCTGTTGTTTGTTTCAAAACACAACTGCATGCGAGCTGCCTCCTCTTACATCATTGCTCCAACAAAGTAATTCTTCCAAAAAAGAAAAAGCACAAAACTAAAATCAGAACCTTATACAAAAGACAATTTGTATATACAAATTATAAGATACAATTATAATATAAAAATACAATTCAAGTAATGCATTTGAAGATGAAGATTTCATAATATCACATTTAATCTGATCGAGGTTTTAGTAGATGCTATGCTCAATAGCACATCCAAAAAATTGGACTAATGGAAAAAAAAAACCACCACTTCAAACTCAAAGAAAAAATGTGAAGGACTAAAACTGGGAAAACTGTTCAAAGAAAAAAATGAAACATGGCTTCTAGAAGGGGTGAATGAATACAGGGATGGGAATTAATGGGAAGGAGTAAATTGATACAGGTTAAAAAAAAGGAGAGGACTGAAGAGCCAGGGCCACCAACTCAGACTGACCAGGAACAAAGTCTGTACAGTGCCTAGAAAACTGCATGTACAGAAGGGAGAACAGAGGCCATTTAAGATCTCAAAAGAGAGCTCACAAGGAGTTAAGAGAAAGAAGATGGCAGCAAGATCTGAGATTCTCTGCTGAGCTCTAAGACAGCAGCACTTCTGGTTGTTCTTTTATTGCTCTTGCTTTAGCAACCTCTTAGCTTTAGAGAGCAGTGTCTGAAAGTTAATTACAAGACTACAGCCAGAGGTGAATGTAAGATTAGCAGCAGTTCCACAAGTAATCGAAGAGCAAGTATTGTTCTATGGATTCAAAAGCAGAAGCAAACTACTTGTTATTTTATTATAATGTCATTTCCTAAAAACTAAAGCATGCAACTTTTCTAATACCAAACTACTGCACAAATTGAGCAACAACTTTCTTCAGTAAGTAACTCTAACAATAATGAAACAGACATTATTGAAAAAATGCCAGCAAAGTTGTATTCAGTTCCTTTTAAAAAAAACATTCAAGGAGGATAAGTCCTTTCTGTACAATTTACAAAAAATAACTCAATTCCAAAAGAAATCTAGGAAAACAGAAAAGAACATTCTGGAGCCCTTCTTTCTGCCCTTGAAATAGAGCAACTACAAAAGCATTAATTTGAGTATGAGAAATAACATAGAAATCTTAACAAGTAATCGTCACCATCACCAGCTGTGTTCAAAGATGGCACAGAGCCTCTGCCATTCACATTATTTATCCATAAAGAGAGCACGTCAGCATGTCCTCTATAAAACCTAAGCTTGGAGTACTACACATGAAGTAACTTTTCACGTTCCTTTCCACTAATATTTCTTCCTCCCTCTCTCAGGGAGAAATGAAGCCACCATTTTCGCCGTTGATATTCTTACCTGCCTTGACACGATACAGCATTGTCAGTGTGTCGTCACTGGTTAGAGCAGTAACATGTAGGTTATTTACTGTTGGAACTTGATCAGCAAGAGCTGTCAGTTCATGAAAATGTGTAGCAAACATACAGAAAGCACAAATTTTGCTAGCAATGTACTCTGAAATAGCCCACGCCAAGCCAAAGCCGTCGTAGGTTGAAGTTCCTCTTCCCAGCTCATCAATAATTATCAAAGAGTTTTCAGATGCTGTCCTAAAACAGAAAAGAATCAAGTTTGAGCAAAGCATAAACTCTGGATACTGGATGACCACAAATCATACTGTAGAGGCACAACATCAGGCACAAGACAACAACAGTTTACATGATAACATATGAATAAAGTACCCATAGTGTCACAAACTATTCCAAGTTAGAGCTTCTTTAGCCCATCTAGGCTTTGGCTTTCTGGTAACAGCTGCGTCTGACGGCTGAAATAAATAGTAGGCTACTTCAAGAACTTACAGTCCTACTGTAAAGGACTTGAGGTCTCAGATCCTAAAAGAAAATCTTAAGATGCTAGAAGAGAATGGTAAGATGTAACATTCTTAGAGTGCATCCTTTCCAATCAACACCAATCAAATGAAAGAAGTGCAGGACTTACCTAAGGATTGAAGCAGTTTCCAACATTTCAGCCATGAAAGTAGACACACCTTTCAGCTGACTGTCTCCAGCTCCTACTCGAGCCAGGATGCAATCCACAATGGTTATTTCTGCAGAGTCGCATGGTACAAAGCACCCAATTTGGGCCATAAGAACAATGACTCCTGTCTGTCGGATATACGTTGACTTTCCACCCATGTTGGGGCCTACAGAAGAAATTTTGCAAAGGAATTTAAAACCAGTACCTTTTACAATTCCACACTCCTTTTAAAGGAAAGCAAGCTGTTAAAACTGAAAAAAAAAACAACAAAAAACAACATATAAACTTACTCTTTTGTCAGGAGAAAGAAGACTTGTCTAACAAGTACAGCTAGGAGGGCTACTACTACTAAAGGTTACTGTTTTGATAGGCATTCCTTTCTTTTTTTTTTCTTTTTTTTTAAGAGAAGGGAGGAATGAAAGGTTACATAAGTTTGGTGAGTTTTCAGAAGTGTAAGCAGTCATCTAAAATGCATGTTCGTACCTAAAATTAACAAGCTTTCATTGTAAAGTCATCAGTATTGCTGCTTAAGAACAAAAATAATTTGCTTTTACTTCAAACAACAATCAGTATTTGTCTGCAAAAATGAAGTAGTTTACTTAACAGACTGGGTTCAAGCTTTCTGGTGATTTAAATTACAATCTAAAGGGATTCTGAATCATCAAAAACATGTATTATGCAATTAGAACTTAACTGAAGCACAAATGAAATAAAAAGTGCTTTCCAAACAAACTGATCATTAAAACCAATTTTACGCTTTCATAACCAGAAAAACAAGAGTGCTGCCATGCATTTATTCAGATTCTTAGTTTTTCTTTTTGATCGTTTTAGAAGTGTTCATTAATCATTCTCTAATTTCAGATCTTTGCTACTCAGAATGTGTTAAGCATATCTGAATGGAAATTAAAATTCAATTAAATGTATAAACACTAAAAAGGTTTTCCTGTATAGTAAAATTCTCTTAATTTCACCAGAGATTAGGAGAAAAAAAAAAAAGTATAGTCATTAAAACATGCTTTGCATTTTAAATTGACGAACAAGGAAAACATTAACAAAGTGGGTGTTTAAAGTCTTGCCTACAGCAGATGCCTACATGATGGCTACAGTACAATTGATGCCTCATGGAATTTTCCAATTCACTTCAGTAGAGTTAGGCTCTCCAGCTCCTGAGGCTGTCTGGCTTGCGAAGGGACATTCAGTAAAGCAAAGAATACATGTATTAAGGATGAGTTTTCTTACTTCCTGATATCCCAGCAGCCTTCCTCTTCTTCCCAAATCACTATTTCTAAATTAGTGACCAACTTCTCCAAATAGTGCACACCATAATTACAATCATAACAACTCACTCCATGACTGGTAGTTTGGAAGATATCTTTATGTCCATAAGCAGGAGGAATAGGACAAGAACATTGTGGACAGATACATATATATATATATATAAGCAATGCTCACTCTTTCTTATGTAGAATCACTGAATCTCCCAAACTGAAGGGACCCATAAGGATCATCAGCACCAACTCTTGGCTCCATACAGGACCACCCAAAAATCAGACCGTAGAACACATTTTTCCTAGGTAAATCTCAGCCCATATAGAGACACATGAATAATTTGCTCACCACTCCCACTTTCTTGATTAATTATTCTCACATAGCTTTCCCCTTCCCTTCCCTTCTGTTTTAAAAGGCATCATCATTGGAAATACTTGAAACATTTAAAACCTAAGTATTAAGCAAAAAACAAGTAACAAACATTTACCAGTAATAATGTGGAACATCTGCTTGCCCTTCTCAAATGTAACATCATTGGGGATGAAGGCCACCTCATCTTGCACTTCGATGCAAGGATGCCTGGCGCCTTTCAGCACAATCCTTCCTTGCCCCTTTTCCAGAATGACAGGACGAACATACGGCACTGGCGCTCCGTTTGACACATGAGCAAAACTGACAATTGCATCTAACTGAGCTATTACATCATTCATGGTCTGTATTGGCTCTGCATAACCTGTTTTTGATTACAGAGAGACAAATTCAACAGTTAGAAATGTGAAAGAGGTGATGGACAGGGTGAAACATCTAACATCTGCAATAGGAATAATATTATTTCTTCACCATCCTTCACAGCCAAGTCCCTCAGTTCCTTACTTTTTTTGCCCACTCTGCCTCCTACTCAGCCTGCTGTTAGGGTGGGGATGCCCATAGTCAGGGAGGGAAGAGGATGACAGATGTGGCCTCTATGGATATATTTTTGTCCCTGTTATGGGAGAAGCATTTGAATGTGCCCCACCACTGCTTATCTGTAGCAATTCCAGGAAAAGGTCTGACCTTAAGACAACGTATTTCATACTTTCAACAATAGACTAAAGGCCCCAAACCATTTTTCTCACATTCTTTAGGGAAGGTTAAGGTCCTTCTCTGCAGAAGGGCTTACAGGCAGCAAGTCCTCCCAGCATTCCAGACTGCCATGCATATCAACAATGACATTCACCTGAAGCGATGTTAATAATTTCCTTAACAATTGCATCCTGAGCCTCTTCGTACTCTTCTCTGTTCTTTATGTAATCCTCATTGATGGCACTCAGCTTGCTGTGAACAAAACGGCAACATTTAGAGGTTGTGATGTCCTCTGCCTTCTGGCCACCTCCCAAGAAACTCACTTCTCTAATGGTAACTCCAGCAGTAACTGTTACACCTGAAGTCACAGTTTCATTGTTTGTCTGAAACAGACCGTGTATTAATCGCTGCTGTTTTAACCATTCCATACATAATACAGGAAGCAGATATAGACAAACTTGTCTCCAGTCTGAAGTCCATCTGGTGGTTGACTAGTAGCAGCATTTTTTGGGGTTTATGCCTCAATTTAACACCCTGGATGATGGAACTGAACACACTTTCAAATGCATTCTCAGCAGTGCTGTGAGCACCACGTTAAGATCAGCCACCACTACGCTGTAGGACAGGGCTGCCTTTCATCGGGTTAGACCAGAGAACCAAGTGGACAAGAATTTCAAAGCACAGGCAAATACAAAGTCCTGCATGTGGGATGAATAACTCCATGTAAGAGTACAGACCGAGTGTGGTCCACATGCCTACAAAACAGCTTTACATAAAAGAGCTGGGAGATACAGGGAAGGAAGCGTGCTTTTTCAGTCTGGAGAGGAGAGGCATCAAATTCTTCTTACAGGTGCAGGGAAAAAGAATGGTACTAAACACTCAAATAACAACATAAATTCTCATTACATGTGATAAAGAAAGAGGCATTAAGCACTGGAGCTCACATCCCTACAGGTTATGAAGGATGCTTGAAGAACAGACAAATGGACACAGCAATGAGCCACCTCATTTAACCTGAAGCATCTAGCTTCAAAGGTGACTCTATTCTAATAGAGGGATTGGACCAGTTAAACTCAAGAGATTCTTTTAAGTTTTGTAGCTTCATAGAATAGAATGACAGAACATCCTGAATTGAAGGGACCCACAATGATCATAGAGTCCAACCCTGGGCTCCACACAGACTACCCAAACCCTATGGCTGAGAGTGCTGTCCAAACTCTCCCTGAGCTTACAGAACCTCAGGACACAAGACCAATACTTATGACCAACAAAGATTACAGCATAATTTGGAAAAGATAATTACCAACAAAACTACTGCATGTCATATTTGGTGATAAACACAAATAGCTCTTCTCTTATTTCAGCTTGTAAAAGTGTCTATATAAACACTCACACTGAATGCAATTACATGGGTAGGTGCAGCTAAAACAGATAAATTAGCCAAAGTCAGATGAATAAAAATAGCTAACAGTTGGCAAAGAAAATGGGGAATGCAGGCATGTGCTTTTAACAGAAACTGCATGACTTCTCCTCAGTCTCGCTCAGTGTATCAATCTGTGAGCCAACCAAAAAGGTGAAAATTCAGACACTCAAGATGTACAAAAAGCTGCTTATTGGAAAAACTAGACAGAGGAATCAGTGCTTCTTTTGCAACAGAAAGATTACCAGTATTACCTCATACCTGTTTGTAAATTTCACACCATTCTTCTGTGTATCAGTTATCTTGTACTTTGAATTGTTCCTAAGAACCTTTTCTTCCTTGCAAGTAATTCGAAAGTGGTGTCCAAACTGTGAATTTGACTCCAATTTGATACTTTTACCAGCTTCCAAACCTTTTAGATGAAAAGAAGAAAAAACAAACAAATACTATTATCAAAATCCTTTTGGTTGTGCTGTTTCTGCTCAATAATCCCAGCTCATATGATGCAGCCTCTCCACGCTCTTCAGTATACTTGTTTTGGTTCTGTACATACATGAGAAATACCTAAACCTAACAGAATTTTACTGGTTCCTTCCCTGCTCTTACCTTTGATATGCCCTCAAACTGCATATGGAAATGAAGTGCACCATTACTGTACTGCTACATATTCCCCAGAAAAATGAAAAACATTCATAGCATGCTGCAAGGACATTCTACTTGCTGTTGTAAACACAGCATGTATAGCCTAGTGATTCTTTTATTAACACATACTATTGCTGGTGGGATTTCTCATCCTTACATAGCCTTGCCTTTCCTTCTTTATATCTAGGTATCTTGTTTAAATAAAATTAAAAAAAAAACTAGGCTTAATTAAGAATGAGATGAGTTGCATGCAATACGTTGCAACATTGAAATATTCTGTAACACTATCTTAAAAAAAAGCCAAGTCCTAACCTGCAATAACTCAGTTTCCAATAGACAACACTGTAACAATTAAAGTCACTTCAAACTAAGGGCAATAGTAAATGGAACAACAGAAACACCCCCTATCCCCCTCTACCTACTTACTCTAAGCCAGTTTTCATCACTTGGTCTCAAAATAATTAAGTAATTAAAAGGAGGTAAGAAATAAAGGTACTTCCACCCCCTACCAAGCTCTTTGGCTGCACTCTTTAACAAGGTCTGCATGTTTTCTTCCAGCTCATTCATCTTCTCTCGCAATTCTGTCAGGTTGGGGTCAAAAGAAGCCTTAACAAGGAACTCATGATTCTCCACCTAGGGGAAAAAATGAAAAACAATTTGTACAAATGAGGTGGTAATAAAAAGAATAATCTCCTTCACTGCCTACTTTCTCTGTACTTTCACTCAGCCTGCTATTTTGGTTGTGGTTTTGCTGCATGCCAAAACACTGCAGTGATGTTCTCCAGCTGCTTAACCAGATATGTGGCCTCCACACATTTATGTGATTTTAGAGATTCCTCGTGAATCCTGCAGACATTGTGAAAGTAGCATAAACAAATTCGTTCCCTGTTATAGCCCTGTTGATAGGTCTGTTACTCCAATTCCCTTCATATTTCTGCAAAAAGAACAGCTATGAATATTTATGACAGAACGTACAGCAGAACATTCCTGCTTTTATAGGGCAGATCCTGGTTCTGAAACAGAAAGGATAGGCTGAAAATGCCAAGAATGCCAAGCCTTGTCATGGCAGGTCAGACTAATAACCCAGAACTGATGACAGTCTGATACCTGGATATGTTCATTATGTGAAATAAGTAAATCTCAGTTCCAAGTGCTTCTCAATTTAATGAGGTGACAGTAAATGATTTGCAGACTCTGGTGCTATGTTGAGCTAGCTAATTAATTTGAAAAGCAAGTTCTTCTGTAAAGGGCTGTGCTCTTAGAACTAAAATCAAAATGCTGTATAACAAAAGCAATAACAAATTCTGACGTTGTCCCAACTTGAGGTGAAGGTTGGAGCAGATCATTTTCCACAGCCCCTCATGGATCTAAGAAACACAGGAATGGAAGTGATAATTTCTCAACTTTATATTTTTTTAAACAGCTAGGTAAATGAATAACCACATCCCACACTTTCTGAACTCAGATGTTTCTTTTTATATTAGAATGCTTACCCTGAATAGATTCCTGGCATAATTTAGTTGCTATGACAACCTGTCCTTCAATCACACTCAGAACAGAGCTCAGCGTTTTGTATGAATACCCAAACATCTAAGAGGAACTGAAAGCCAAATGTTCAAGTTTGAAGATTCCTACACAGAAGGTTCACTCTTCACAAAACCAATGTTGGTTTACCTGTAGCTATTTTAATTGATCCCAGTATCTTGAAGGAAAAACAACCACAAATTCAACAACATGTCCTATAGGACTTGGTTAAAAATAACTGACTTTCTAACCTATGTAGAAGAACAACAAAATATTTTTAAAGCTAAAGTTGAAAAGAAATGTGAAGAGCTGGGTGAATATTGAAACAACTGCTTGTTTTAAAGAATACAGAGTTCCATCACCAGATGGTCTGTAACTAGTAGATAGCTATAAATGTCTTCATTAGCATACATCATCAATTACAGCCACACGTCAGTTGAGCAGCCTTAAAGAGTATAGAACACAGGTGATGAACACATACACAGCACAAAGAAAGAAAAAAGGGCACCTCTTCCGCTTGAAAAAAATCTATGTTCAAAATTTTTTTAAGGTCAGTGTAGTTTTCCAAAGTGCAACAAATTGCTGTTCCTACCCTCAGGTAGAGCTCATCTTTCTACAGCCAGCTCAGATTGACATTTATGACAATCCAAAAAGCCTCCCAAGTTTTCCAAAACTACTGAAGCATCTTGTCAGTAACAAACATTAAGCAAGTGTGTGAGCAAGCAGATGAAATAGCAACACTAGAAAAATGTGTGTGTTTTGAGTGCATCGCTCCAATTCTCCAACAAAGATGATAAATTGCACCAAAAACTTTGGCACTGTTTCACTTTCAGTAACCAGACTTTCAGTTTTCCTCTGGAACAGAAACTGGTTTTGCTTGCAGAATTGGTCCTATCTGCAGTAATGTTTTATAAGTACAGGTGAGAGGCTAAATTAATTTTTGTGGCTTTTTTTCTAGCAAGAAACTTCTTTACACTGCAAAGTAAACTTCATCTTTGTATCAAGGTCAGTCATTTTCCAAACAAACTGTTAGTTATGAAGACTCTCTCTCAGCAAGCAGAAGCATGCCTCCTGAACTCGATAAAGCAGAGAAATAAATAAGAAGCATACTCTGGCTACATCCTAGATTTGAGACATCGCAGTAACACTGAAATTATGAGGAAAAAAAAAGCAAAAAAGTGGCAAAGTAACTTCCCACTTGTAATACTTGTAATTGATGAGGTTTCTGGAAACAAGTTTCAGGTCCACAGCATCCATGTAACCAAAGAACTTTTTCACTGGTACTTCATCAATTAAGATATTCCACTGTTAAGATTAATATGACTCCTCATTCATACACACCATGACTAATCTAACAGTAACAACTTATACAGGCGATCAATTAATTTAGTGAGTGTGGAGCAGATTGTGACGTTCAATAAGAAATTTTAATAGCAAAGTAAACCTGTTCATCCACGCCAGCTCATACCTTATCCATATCCAATGTTGTTTCTATCATCTCCAGAAATTTTGAGAAGTCGGAGTGGATATCATTAAGAGGTGTTATAAACACTGCCAACAACAACATCTGGTGAGCTCCTGTTAAGAACACGAAAAATTACAAGATTTCACAACTTCACCAGAATTCATGTACCCAAGATAAACAGCACAACTATAGAGCTGAATATTTTTTATTTTAAACTTAAAACATTTGTACAGTTAGCTAGGCAGCAAAAAGAAATATGGAAATCAACACTGTTCTACCAAGAGAGAAAAAAAAAGCAAAATGACTTAAATTTGTCATTTTGATTGTACAAAAAATATATAAAAATTATAAAAAGAACATGGTGCAAAAGAGAAACTAAAATACAGTACAGCTTCACTGAAAGTGGATTGTGCCTGTGTACCACGAAGTCTGTCTGTCTCTGAGACAAAAAGAAATCCACAGGCTTCTCAATAGTGTGTCACATAAGAAGCTAAGATACAAGATTCATGATCATACAAAGATTAAAAGGCAGATAAAGAGGACACCTATGACTTGCAAAAGATGAATGAGTTGGAAAGATATTAGCAGTACTGTTCCTCCAGGGCTCATACAGGCATTAATCTTTTGAAGATGTGAGCATTAATGATATTAACATACAAACAAAAGAAAGTTGCTTATGAAATTCACTAATATATACAGTGTGGAAGATAACAGAGGAAACTGGAGAAAATAAATCAAGAACATAACTAAATGTCATTGAAAACTGAGCTAGCAGAAACAAAGCAAAGTTTACTAGTAAGTTTCAGTGTAGTTACAGACAAAAAAGTGCTCTGAGTAGGGAAATAATCCACTGGAAATGGTAAGGAATGTAGAACAACGGCACAACAATCAAGGAATGACCAACACTACAATGTGTAATAAAAAAAAATCGGTATTTCCCAAAGCAATGAGGAGGTATTCATAAGAAACTGTATATAACACAAGTCCTGTATCCTGCATATTTGCAGGCTTAAAATTGAGTGTCAGTGTGAAACAAGAAGAAAGGTGCTTTGGCAGCTTTTAAAGACAGAAGTCTAAGTACCTAGATTTTATGCCCAGCAATCTGAGTAATTAACAACCGCTTCCTTTTGCCAGCAATAGCAAAATGATTTGATGACTCAGTGTCCTTTCCTGTCTTATGCAGGTTTCTTATGTCTAAAAAATAAAAAATGGTCTTCACTCAGTACCCCACTCCTCAGCTTTCATCATCCATTAAAACAAACATCTCAACAAAGCAATGCTTCATACTGGGTGAAAGGCAATCATTGCTAATCACTCCGTGGTGCAGCTGCAGATGTATAGCTAGAATAAAAATAAGACATTCCACCTATTTCAAATTATTTGAGATATACTAGTGATGAATGCCCTACTAAGGCAGACTGATTCTATATAACGTGTAGAACAGGAACCTCTTGCAGTCCTGGAATTCACGCATACAGCAAGCTTAGTGGTTTCTCTCGAAGCCTGTAAAATTTGACTGTTTTCATACCTCAGTGTTAAGACAAAGAAACTCTACTGATCCAAATGACACCTAACAGAAAGAGACATGGACAGGAGGAGAGCATTTTGAAATGTTGATGATAGAAATCCAAGAGCTCCACACCAAGGCATAACCAAGCAGTCTGTATGAAAAAGCCAAAGGATTAAGCCAACTCAATGCAGCACGGCCCTTGTATCAAAATATGTATAAAGGTTTTTATATATTTTATGTATCTATCAGTTCTTTCACAGTTTTAAGATTTTAACTGCTTTTGGAAGAAACAGGCAGTATCCAAAAAATACATTTAGTTTCTGATGGATTTTTTAGAAGATTCATTATTTGAAGTCAGAAACCTGCAGTACAGAAAAGTGTAAGGTATTGGATAACCTCACTCAGTGTCTGCTCAAATAGAGTAAGGAAGTATTTGTAACCATACCACTTCAAAAATTCTTCATCTTTAAGGTTTCACTGCTTGATTCACAAAGGGATTGTCAACTTAGTGGCCTTCTATAAAAATATGAATTCTAGTAGGCTAGGACAGTTGTTGCTGTACTGAAGCAGATTCCTCTTATGCTGATACCATCTTATCTTCCATCTTCTTGGTAATATCCAGAAAAGAAAATAGCAACCTTTATTTTCTAGGGCTGTCATAGCGTTGAGCTTCCTACCACTGAAGATCAGTAGAAAGCCTGCCACGTTATTCTCCACAGCAGGAACATTTCACTACTTCAAAAAACAAAATGCTCTTCAAATGAAACCACTGATGTTTAAATAACACAAAAAATATTTTAATTACAACTCAAAACATATTTGAGAACCGTGTCTTCAAAAAGAACATCGTATTGTATGAAGAGTTATCTTGACTGTAAGATACACAAACATGCACATGACAGGTGAAGAATACTTAGAGATAAGCCACTGTCAAAGACTACAGCACTCAACAGCCTGTTTTGTTTTTAGGTACCTGACTGGTATTTTTCCAGCACAGTTCCAATTTAAATGCCTTAAGCTTTACTCCTGCAATAGAAGTATACAGGAAAAAACTGTATCTTTGGAAATCTACACACTATTCCTTGGCAGTCTCAACGCGTTACAAAACACTGAAAGCAGGGAGCAGCATTACCTTCATGTTTTTCTAGTGCTTGTACAACATTAGGCAGTTGGTGAATAGCTTGATACATTCGGTAACAGTCCTGTAAGGTTGCTGCTTGTCTCTGAAATCTCTTTGCTAGCCGGTTAAGATCTGGGAAGCGGCGCAAAAGATCTTCTTGAAGGCCCTGACGCAGTTCAGTATCTACCACAAAGGCTTCAACCAAATTCAACCTAAGTAAGATTTAACAAGGTTTAAGGGTTAGCATGACATGGTATGCGATTCTTTCACATCAGCAATTACAACAAGAACGTTTATAAGGAAGTTTCTATCTAAGCAAGAATACTCGCACTGTATCGTGCTCTGTGAATTTTACAGTTGGGTATCTAATGAACAGCACTGAAGGGAAACCATTTCAAACTGCCAACAGCTGTTCAGCAAGTATTTCAAAGCTCAGAATCTACTTGGAAATTAATCTTCCCTTGCATCATAAAAGTCAATGACCAAAATCTTCATCACTGCTCTCTCCAACCACTTGGCCTATATTTTGGTTCTCATGAGCTCACCTTTTTTGCCTTTTAGTTGCTTGTGCTTTTTGACATCATACTACACAAACAAATCTCTTTCATCCCACAATTCTCAGCTTGTTCAACTGCCTCCTGCAAAAGGACCTGTGAAAGGCATTTTGAAATACCTAATTTATTCATATTTTTTGCCTTTGTCCACTACAATGACAGGTTCAAAGAGTTCAGATCTGCACGACATAATTTTCCTCTACCAAAACTATGCTAATTAGACTAACATCGCATGACCTTCCTAGCACTGTTCTATTTTTCCCTCCTGTATTTGCCAGCCATACACATAAGGTTGACAGGTTTATGTTCATTTTGCAGAACAGGTTCCCATAAAGTAGGAATACATACAAGGCTGCTGAAAGGCAAGAGCTTTGTTAAGATAACAAGCCACATCTAATGCTCACAAGTAATAAAGATATCAAGGGAAAGGGCTTTTTGTAATATAAAGTTTATGGCTGAATAAACAAAGAAAACATGGGAAGAAATCAAAGCAAAAATCAAATGAAGGGATGCAAACAACAGATGACAATACTGGATAACTTGTTTCTGTCACATAATTGAGAGAGGAAAACAAAGCTGAAAGAAGAGGAGAAAAAAAAAAGAGAGAAAAGTGGGGGGAATAAAGCAGAACTTTCCATCACAGATCTAAGGAAGTGCAGTCAAGATAACAGAAACAATTACAACTATGGAAACTATGAAACTGCACTAGAACATAAATGAAACCCCTGTTTCAAGGCAGTTAGCTGTTCAGATGTGCAAATTCAAACTCTCAGGTGATGCAGCTCAAAACCAACACCAGTAGTACATACAGGAACAAGAACACTTCTAGGACTGCTCCAAAAAAGGACAGGATGATAAAACTGATAAAACAGTTTATGATACTTGGATCCATAAAATCCCAAGTTCTGTCAGATATTTTCATGGGAAATAACTGAACTAACACAAGAAAAAAAACATGCTAATAACGAAATCAAATGAGAAATGCACTATTTTATGGGAGAAGCTCAGCTATTACTTTTGAAGAACATCTTAAAGGTATTAACTCCTCTTTCCCAGCCACAGAACAGTAGAACCTTCTAAAGAGCTTACACTCTCCACCTGCTGAAGTCTTCTCATGACTGCAGAATAAGATCAGCTTTCCTGTTTAGGTGTTCAAGCTAACTATAGTCAATTTTATCAGAGAAATGCCACTTAGAAAAGAAGGGCATTAAGGATATTTGCGGACATACTGAAAGAATCCAGCAGAGGGCCACCAAGACCATCAGGGAGCAAGGAGAGTCTCTCCTGGGAGGAGAACCTGAGAAAACTGAGGCTGCTCAGCCTGGAGGAGGCTGGGGAGGAATCATCCTCGACTATAAAACCTGAAGGAAAGGTACAGAGATGACAGAGCCAGGCTCTGTTCAGCGGTGCCAGGACAAGAAGCAATGGGCACAAACTGGAACACAGAAGGCTCTATCTAAGTATCAGGATTGTGCTGGGGGGGGTGACTGAGCATAGGAACAGATGCACTGAGATGCTGAAGTGTCCTCATCCTTGGAGATGCTCAAATGCAGGCCCTGGGCAACCTGCTTTGCCTGAGCAGGGGGTTGGACCAGATGACCTCCAGATGTCATTTTCAATCTAAGTTGTTCTACAATTCTTTAATCAAACACAGATTTCAAGCAAAATGCAACTACTGCAGTTACATCATACGCATTCTTTCGACAGGTTGAGAGCAAAATAATAGTATGACAGCAACACAATCACTTTTCCCTAAAGAAGAAATAAAAATAGCAATCTGATTATTTCTTAAACAAAGATCTGAAAACTGGTTTGACATTTTTAACCAAGTTTCAGTTTAGTTTTGATTTCACTTGAGCTCCAAAATTCAAATGCAAGAGAAAGTGACCAAAAGCTTAATCCTCATATTTACTATGCACCACTCAATGGCTGGTCAGGATGGAGTGGGAGATCTGAAAGTACCAACAAAGAGATACTGTGACAACCAATGCCACCTAACAGGTACACATTTACGGTACTGATTGCTGATCCTTGACCTAGAAGACAAATGATACTAATAACACGAAGAATACAAACAGCTTTTATGCACTCCTTCAGCTCAAATAGCAATGTTGTCTTTCCCTTACATGTAGGTGTCATGAAAAAAATCTGGTTTTATTTACATCCTCATAGCCTCTTCAGACAAGAAAACTAAAAGAAAATCTCTAGCAGTGGAAGAATCAACTTTGTATTTGTTTTCAAATGCCTCAGATCTTGATGGAAATTTCTTCCTGAAGAAGTGATGTGCCTGACATGTGCTTGACTTGCAGAGCTTTTAAGTTTCTAGGCAGTACTCACTGTCAATCTGTTTTAGAAGCAAAAGTAAATGAAAAGACAGGCAGTCTAAAAGTAGTTTTGAGAGTAGTAACCGTAGATGAAGGAAATAGAGAGCATTAAAGAAGTGCTGAGAGCTTCAAGTTACGAACATTTTACTAGTGAACTCAGAGGCTGTGACTTACAGAATGGCAAAGGTGATGTTTTTCTAACATTTCTAGAGGCTTACTGGAAAGCCAATGCCATTTACATTATCGCTAAATGACAGCTTCTTTCATGCAAAACATTTACTGCACCATGACACGCATGACAAAAATTAAATCACACTCCTTACAGTTAGCTCAGGTTCAACCTGTGTTCCAGAACTGTCTCTGCAGGCACTAATGGCACTCCCAATGTTTAGTTAAAGTGTGTTTTAATTAAGTTGTTTAGACAAACCTCCAAGCTGATCACATTCTCCCCTCCCTTAGCAAGGATGCAGGCCACTAATTGAACTGCCTGAAATCAGTTTGCTGCTCTAGACAAGTACTGACCTGTACTTGCAAAAGTAGTGAAGGTCCTTTCAAAGATAACCAAAATGACTGAAGCAACACAGACTGCCTGCAGTACTTTGCAGGAACAGCTGTAGGCTAAAAAAGAACACAAAAATAGTGAAAACCTATCACAGACTAACTTATGGAAAGGGAATTCAGGGCCTGTAGTCCCAGTTCTCACTCAAAATGGGGCTGATATCAGTTGAATGGAATCCTACATTTATGCTGTGTGCAAACACAAGATATGTTTTATTTTTCTGAATGAAACTATGTTCACATTCAGCATATTTTTTTCCTCAGGATTGAACAGAAAGAGTGCTACTTAACGTTCTCCCACATATCTCACTTTCCAGTATCTAAAAAATAAACAAAACATACTGAAGTTTCTTTCTGTACTTCACTACAATACATTACCCAATAAATCCTATTCAGAATATCATCTGCACTTTCTGTCTCTGAAGCTACCTTTTAATTTCAGAGATATGCTGACTCCAAGAAGAGACAGGAGGCTCCATCTGAACAGCCACCTGAACTCGCTGTATGGTGAAAGCAAGGCTGGACTGTGCATACCTGGGAAACCAGCCAGACATAGGCAGAACACCACGCTTTTCAAGACAGACAAGAACCAGAACCCTCTGTTCTCTTTGCTCTGGTTAGAAGCTGTTTGAGGAGGTAAACATTATGTTATCTAAAACATAAGCACTACATACATTAATTTGTGATGTTACCATATCCTGTATTGATGGTTAATATGGATTAGTGATGTAACATCCAGTTCTACTTATCCATAAATACTGGAGCACACTGCGGGTTCAAAACTACTGAAAGTTAATCCATTTAGCTCCAAAAGATGACTTGCACCATCTACAGGTCTTAGCAGGGGGTTACAAGAGTCTGATTCCAAAGGTTTTGAGATGAACTGCCAGGCATCCAACCCTACACTACAGAATCAAAAGTTAAGCCAAGACACTTCCTGGATAACCAAAACAACAGGCTTACTCCAATAAAAAGTCATCTAACATCAGTCAAGCCTATGTAGTTTAGACTAGTTTGATGCGAAGTGTGCATCAGTGTTAAGCAGAGTGCTTTAACACATTCAAGCTAGGAAATTATCAGGAAAACCCATCCAGATGACAAAAGAACCACTGTTTTTCTATCTGGACCAATCATCAGGGTGTTTTCTTCTCAAACTATCTATATGCTCTAAATTATAGCATGTTGAAATTCTGAATTCTTAAATTCAGAAATAGAAAACCACCCTGTAACCACAAATCTCTCAAAAGGTATTTGAACTTGTAAATTCCTCTTATCAGTCCCATTAATGGTTTGTCTTATTATGTTTGTTCCTTTTTTTAAATAAGTGCAGGCCTACACACCATGAACAGCATTAAGATTGGAAGGATAGTACATTAGCAGCTTTTGAGCAAAATGCACTGCTTTTATCTGCAGGCATTCAGACTATGGCACAGCAATGCTGCTGAGTAAAATGAAAGGTATGATTGTAGTGTCCATAAGCACAACAGACTAAAACTAACTACATTTCATGAAGCACAAGCCAGCTGATTTGGTAGCTAGACAAAGTACAGGAGGCTATCAGTGAACTCTTTCAAACTCAATAATGGAATCCACCAACCTTTGCAAGCTTCATTGATAGCTAAATGCTACTGAAGTGCTCCCTTCCTCCTTTAAACACAGCTTCTGCTAAATATAGTCAACATTAACCATACAAACATCACATTTTCTGCCTACTACTTCAACTTCATAAAGAAAACATCATCATCTTTCTTCCAGACTTGCAGGACTTTTGGTGCACAATAATGATCAAACAAGACTGTCAAAAAGCAGTTCAGATTTCCAACATTTACTTTGTTAGAAGAAAACCACAAATGGGAGTAACTCATTCCAAAATCTTAAAATCAAGTTAACCATACAATTAATGTGGGCATAGATTTTAGGATCCAAAACTGGCAGAAGTAGAATATCCTGGGCATGTAATCAAGAACTAATGATGAAAGCTTAGTAACACATGCAAAATTAAGATAAAGCATTCAGTAAACCAGGGGACAAATACTTCCTAGGTTTAAAACATTTTTAAGCTTGTTTGGATAAAGTTACTACGCATCATTCAGCAAATTATTTGAAAACACATACAAAAAAATATAAAATTATACAAATCTAGAAAGAAGACTGCTCTTTGCATAGCTTCTTTAAACATTTGTGTGTCCAAGCTGAAATTTCTTTTTTGGCATTACTGATCCATGGTAAAGCCCAACAACATAGCCAAAAATACCTGCATTGCCTATCTGAAGTACAAGACTGACAATGTATCAAAGTTAAATTCCATTTTCTGGTTTATTCTGCTTTTTAAAGAAACAAATGGACTTCAAAATGCACTAACATACCATTTACTTGAGTTGTAAAAAGTTTGTGTTTAGGTGATAGAGGACAGCTATGTTTAACATGAGCTTAAATGAAATTGTAGGCTTTCTCTGTGTGGAGAATAACACAAAATTAGCATATACACTCACTGGGGGAATGAGACATTTGTAGTTTCCCTTTCTGAAGGACTGAGAACTGTACAATCTCAGCAGTGAGTTGTCAAATGCTGCAAAGCTTCGTATTAACTGCTGCTGCTCTCTGCTGGTAGGGCTGACACGGGTGACAGGCAGCAGTATGAAACAGCAAGGAAGATGAAGACCGTATTTGGGCCACAGTATCTGCACAAGATATGGTAAGAGTGCCCCGTTTCATACTAAGGGATTTGGCTTCTAGAAATACAAAGAGATCACTACTGCTTAATTTCTTTTTTATTGGTAAACTTGAAATGGGATCAAGATGCAGCGTGAAGTTAGAAAGCAGCACCTTAGCCTGTAGCATGAATCATCTGACCATCTAAGCATATTATACTTCCTCTCTAAAAAGTTGTAATTGTAAATTATCTAACAGTGAGCTGTCAGTATGCATCTCACTGAGCAGAAAACTTTCTGTTCTGTTGAACTACAATGTGTCAGAGTATAGCACACAAAAACCTCCAGCCACCATTTCTAACAAGTGAAAAACTGATTTCTTGGTTGTAGTATTTTGCTTAAGAAAAAGGGACCTTCCGTAAAACAGTTACAACTTGCATAAAGTCCAGCAAACACACAACAATTTTACCTTTCTTCAATTCTATTCTTGTCCATCAGTGGCTGTTTGATCCACTGATTAACCAGTCTTTGTCCTTGAGGGGTTCTGCATTTATTTAGTAAACCAGCCAGAGACTGTGTATTATTAGCATTTTCCACAGAACTCTGGAAAGGAAAAGAAAAAGAGTTAAGTTTACTGACACCCACTGACTGGCACTCCAGTTCACTCCTTAAGAACAGACCCATTTTTTCTGTATGAGACCTAGCACCATCAAAGAAGGCACTGCATTAAAGCAGCTGCACTGCTTCCTGGAACATACCTAGTCATTGGGTAGTATATTCTTTGAATAGGAGAAGTGGAAACATATCTAGATACTTGCTAGTTTGCCCTTTGTAAGGTGAAAAAACAAGGATCCCATCCATTAAAAAAAAAAAAAAAAAAGTAGAATAAGACTGTTCAGACTACAGCTTACTATAGTACTGCTTTTGGCTTAATATTAATTGCACTCAAGAGAGCCTTATGGTCATTTTTCTAGGATTTCTGCTTGGTTGTTTTGCACAAACAGTTGGGTAGCAAAAATCATGTTTAACACTGACAAATAACAAATGATCTTGTTTCAACTCACAACTTTGAAATTAAAACCTCAGTCACTTTCTACCCCAGAATGCCTGCAATTAAAACAGTGTGTAGGGATTCATCCAGATCTGGATGTCTGTAAACAGCTGGAACGTAGAATTAGCACTACAAGAGGAAACTCAGCAAGAGGGTATATATTGATGGTTTAACCTCCAGATAACACCTTCAGTGTTCTGGACAGAATAGTGTATGAAAAACTCCTGAATCCAAGAAAGCACCAGAGAATACAAATAAGCTACCCCAGCACATCCAAGTGAGACAGCTACAGTTTTGTATAATCAACTGCATCTGCTGCATCATCAGAACTTCACCTACATACTTCATACATTCAGACTTTTCCAAAAACAGCATGACTGTAGAAATTATTTTGGAGTTCCACACCACACAACTACCGAACTCAACTCTTCTTCCATCCCCCAAACCTGCTCCTGCCACTGAGGATGAGAACTGCTCTGACTACAATCAAGGAAAGCTAATGCCCTCTCTCCTCTGGCTAGCCAGGCTCCTCAACAGCTGCAAGCAGGTTATCTCCAAGGCACTTCCCATTCTGCATTCTACACCTTCCTGCCACTCTTAGAATCTTCTCTTCTGCATTCAAAGGCAAACAAGGGAACAAAACTGAACAAAGAGTGTTAACAGTTGCGAACTGTTTAAAACATACTCTATATGAGAGTAGCCGAAAACAAAGCTAAAAAAGCAGAAGCTGACATTAATCAGGATGTGGGAAGCTGTGACTGTTTATCAAGCAGCTAGACGAGTATATTGCAAAACACAGATCAATCCAAGCGTGCATTTCTTACCTGGAACAAGTTGAGGGCTTGGACAGCTGCATTGTCTAGAACCATATACTGACTAAGATCAAAAGTAGTCAGTTCAAATTGTCCAAAGTTAGAGTCATCTGACAGCAACTCCAAAAACTTGATAACGGCTGACAAAGATGAAACAGCAACCTGAAGAAGAGAAGAGAAGGGAAGGCAAGGAAAGGCAAGGGAAGGCAAGGGAATACCGATTACCAAATATTCTAGTTAGAAATATTCCTGAACCATGGAGCATTTGATAATAAAGAAAATTACTAGAAATAGTCAGGCAGAGTCTCTGTGCTACGAAAATTTCAACAGGGTTACAGGAGATCCATCACTTTTTTCTAGGGCACTATAGCTTCTTTCTAGGTAGGTGTAAGAACAACAAACTAGATACTTGCTTAATCTGATAAACAAAGATGTGAAGAGCATGCCATGCCAACTTGCCAAAGCTCTTATCAGGACATTTCTGGCCCAGGAACAGAAACAAGTTATAGCAGATAGATATCATGTATCATTTGAGCACATGGTTTCATGGTTACAGACAGGATCTGATCTGGCTCACTGTAAGACCTTACACATGTCAATGCCAGCACAAAAGACAGTGAGCACGATTACTGACTTGTTTGGTTGTAACAGACTTCCAACAGTTTTAACCTGTTATGAAATCACACATTCGGGTGAATAACTCAGAGGATGCCCACTGCAAAGGTACAATGAAAGGTGTTTTAAAATAAATTTAAATATGTTTCCTCTTAAGTAACTGCCCAGAGCCCCACCCAACCTGGCCCTGAACACCTCCAGGGACAGGGCAACATACATCATATAACTGAGCTGTCAGATATGTAAATCACAAAAGCATTAGCATAAACAGCACTTTGTTTCCAAATATGAGTTTTCCCATTATGCAAAATAATCAAAGGATTATATTCCAGTCCTTAGGTAGATTGATTATGAATAGGAAGCACTTCTTGTTAGCAATCAATTTGTTTACCAGAGTTTACTACTTGAAAGAAATATATGAAATCTCACATTCTTCCAGGACGCATGGACACAAAGAGCCATGCAGAGCAGAACTGCTGAGGGCTTCAGCAAGAATGCAGTTTAACACAATGCATACCCTCAGAGGTATGGGAATCCAGCACAGAACAGGGTCAGGAAGGGTAGAGATCATCTTACAACAGGTGCACACACCACTCTGCTTCTAAAAAAATGGACACATCGAACAGTGCTCTGGGCTCACCTGCTTTTCCATCTCTGGCAATGCTGCACTGTTCATTTGTTCTCCTTTTCTCGATTTTAACAAGCGATTGAGATCCTGAACAATATCCTTTGTCGTGAAATCTGCCTTCTTTCTGTCTGTAATCAGGATTCCTCCTCTCTGAATGACCTGTTTGCCATAAAATACAGTCCCCAATTAATTTCAGTTTTCATTGGACAACTGCTCATCACCTAGAAGCACACCCTGAGAGAACTACTGCCCTTACCTGCCGCAGTTTCCCCATCTCTCCTGCAGTGTCTCCTCCTGGCAGCACACACTCCTTAGGTCCTAGCTGAACCAGCAGGGCCTCAAGGTTTGAGAACTGATCATTATCTGGGAACTCACAGACACTCAGTTTTCTCAGCGTAGTGTCCACATACCCTACTCCTATTACTCTTTGTCCATCAGCAGAAGACAGCTTCACCCCCACAACCCCAATGGCCATTGACATATCATTGTTGGCAAAGAGAACTTCCTCAAACTGGGCAAGATTTCCCGGAGAACCCTATATGCAGGAGAAATAAAGTTTTAAAGAAGGTGTAAACACAAGATGTGTTTGTTAAAACCAAACAAAACAAAGAATTGGTAAAAAAAGACCATTAATATAAAACATACAGCTTTTTAAACCACTAAAATTTTACACATCATCTATAGAAAGTGAGCTACCTCAGGCTTCTTCAGACCTGCAGCCTATGGCAAGGACACAGGATGAGCTCCTCCAGCAGCTGAAAGCACAGCAACATACAGCCAACTGCACAACTTACCATCATACCACCAGAGGCAGTCACTGAAACTCCAAACTGAGGGATGCAGCAAAGAGTCATTTCTTTATCCCCTTCCCTCTTACCATCATACAGAAAGGTAGAAAATTGTACCTTGTATGCTAAATACCAGTCGTTCTCTTTGACAGATTTACTCCCTGCTTTATTCTTGTAAACTTCCACTCTGTAATGACGAACCAGCAGCAAATCTCTCACAAAAGATTCAAAGTTCATTTTACTGAGCACAACGCTCTCCAGTTTCTGATTTCCTATGGAAAGAAAAGAAGAGGGAGGGAAAGGGGGACTTGTAAGACGCTTGAATGTGTTCATCACGTTTGTTTTCTGTAATCAAACCCTCCCCTAAGATAGAATTTACAGCCTTCAAAACTGATGTTCGTCTGATACCGAAGATCACATAAAACCCATGAAATAACACAAACCCCAAACGTTTCATTATTAACATTAGGCATGAAGAAAGCTTTCAGTCAGAGACACCAGATAAGGCCGTTGTGGAATGTTTTGAAACCAAAGCTTGAAGGACTTCATCTGTGAACTGAGCAGCACTGAACACAACACAGAAATGGGGCCCATACATGTGTCCCTGGTCTGGGAGGTATTCCAAAGCCCAGCTCTGACACTGTCACACTCTCTAAGATCTTCACAGCTTTCTTCTCACGCAGCAGCCCATCGCTCACACCAAGAAGTGCAAAGCATATTCCAGTGCCGTTCTCTTTCTATTGACACTGCATAAAAAAAGTTTCACCCATCACAAACCGGTTCCAATCAAGTTTATTTTGTTAAGTATAAGCTCTGCAATATTAAGCTATTTGAGACGAATGATAACAGCAAGGTTTGCCTCTTCTGACGAAGTCTTACATCTGATGTCTGCAAGCTCTACCTCCGCATACCAAAAGATTATTAACAAAAAGGAGAAAGAAGCAGATAGAGAAAATCTTGAGCAATACATAATTAGACGTTATTCCCTGCTGCAGGCCATCGTGAGTCAATCACCTACGAACAGACGATTCGCACACGTGAACCTTGTCATTGCAAACCACGAACCACCTGCACTCGAGCAGTGGAGAAACACAGAATCACAGAGGTAGGAAGAGAGCCCTGGGATCTCCGTCCCGCAGCACAACGCCGCTCCTTCCCCTCCCTGCCCTTCCCTGCCGCCGTGCCCCAGCGCCGCCGCCGCCCAGCCCCGCACGCACCTGGCGCGCCCGCCAGCTGCCGGATGACGGCCCGCGTACGGAACAGCTCGCGGGCGGCCAGCCGCGCGTCCGCGCCGTGCACCGAGTAGTAGTCGCCGCGCTCGAAGAAGCGCACGGTGGTGTCTGGCTTCTCGAGCAGGGAGAGCACAGCGCGCACGAAGCCCGCCTCGGCCCCCGCGCCCTCCGGCCACACCGCTTCCCGCGGCGCCTCGGCCGCCATGCTGCCGCCTCCCGCCATCGCCCGCCGCTCGCGCGCCTCCCCGGAGCCGCCAGCCAATCACCGCGCGGCTGGCGCGCTGCGTCACGGCCGCCCGCCTCCCGCGCGAGGAGCGGGGCGGTGCTGAGGGGACGGCCGTCGCGCGGCTCCCTGGGCGGGCGGGGCGCCTAGCGGGGGTTGCCGTGTGTCCTCCCGTCCCGCCTGGTTGTAGTACAGGCGGCTGCTGCGTTTCAATTAACGAGACAGTGGGAGAGCCACTTTCAGCTATAAACGCGGTGGCAGTGCTTCTGTCTGCTGCTAAATGCGTTCCTGTCACTGTCCAGAAAATGTCTTCAAAGCCCTTTTGCCGTTGCACTCGCTGAAGGAACATGGCTGAAGGATTGTCATGAAGAGTGTGGAAGATAGCACTCACTCAGGCTGCTGGCCTTAGGAAGAGGCTCCATGTAGGGTTAGCAGAAGCTTTACAGCTTTTAATAGCTTGAATCTTCCTGTTATCTCCTAAAGCACCTTTGTGGAGGGGCAGTAGGACTTACTGTCAGTACCAACAAGCATACTTTCCCAGACCTTATTTTAAACCACCTCCCCTGATATTCCTGTTCACCAAAATCATTTGCTGGAGGCTGTGCTCCTGTTGAAGAATTAGGCCTAAATAACTACCATTCAAACACCTAGCCTGCTGCAGGGCATGCATAGCAAGGTGTTAAAGCCAGGTCTGACTAAAATAGATCGGACTACTTCTCTTTGTACTCACTGCTAACTACAACTAAAGCAGATGAAAGCATAAGAAGTAAATAAGCATCCTTTTATGAACATTTGGAGAAGAGGTGGGCTCAAGGGACCTCATCATCACCTTCAAAAGAGATAAATGCCTGTTAAGTGTCATCGCTGCCTGTTAAAGTTTATTCTCGCTCCGGGGCTGGTTACTCCTCCTGCAGCAGTTTGCTCAAGGCAACTCTACTGAATTGTAATCTCCCACTTACAGAAAGCCACTACCCAAACCTGCCGCTAACATTCTTTGTGGTGAGCGCAGTCCACAAAAGCCTGTTCTGCTGTGACAGCTGCTGAACATTTCACTGGATCAATCGCCTTTCCTGCTGAGCTTTTGCCATTTCTCTCTTCTGTTTGCCGCCCTGATTGATCAGCACAGGTCTAGATACAGACCATCAACCTGTTATGAGCTGTGGTTACTTCATCATGCTGTTGCTTGCAGAACACTTCTTTGAAATTGCAGGAAGATGGGAATGAGAAGGTGGTAACTGTTAAATGCACAGTGGATAGGAAATGGGTGCTAATCTAAACCTTCATTAACTTAGTATCCTTCTTATGCATAACTAGCATACACAGAAAAATTGATTTTTGTTTTCAGTTAAGGAAATAGATGCCCCTTAACCACTCAAAAGAAAAAAAAATCCTGTCTTACCAACAATTAATTAGTATTCAAATATAATCAGGATATATCAATCTATCACCAGTAAATTTTGTGACTAGTACAACAGCCTAATATTAACTCAACAATATAGGCAACCTTATTGAAAACCAGACATCATTTAACAGCTTATAGAATTACATGAGATTTAGCATAGCTCAGCAGCTCGACTGCACACCAAGGCAGAAAGGGTATATAGAACAGTCCTGCTGCCAATACAAGAGTTGTCAGTGACAAGTACAAATGAAAGGCTGCAAGGTATTCCAGCAAATTCCCTACAGTGGGATTTTTGTACTTGGCAGGAGCAGCAGCTCAACAGAGCAACTGACACGAGTGCCTCCACTTACCCAGATTTGGTACATAGACAGCTATGTTCACAGCACCACAAGTCAGAAGAACCAAAGGAGTAAACACTGCTAGTAACAAGCACAAGCGTCAACATCCAGCACAGTAACATCACCTTATGATAGCTAATGCAGTATTTAAAATGCTGGTGACCTATGACATCATAAGTAGGGTCAACACAGCCCAGCAACTTTCCTATTTTATTTTGGAGACACATAGGGTATGTCTCCCATTTATAAACACAGCACATAGGTAGCAATCTCACACTAGTTCAGCATACTTTTCCTGTTTTAGGGAGGGGGAATCAAAACAAACTACATTAGTAATCAGATTTGTCATTCAGTTCCTTATCTTGTATCTCATTATTTCTTTGGCAACAGGAGTTACAGCGTCTCCTTTATAATTCAGATGCTAAATGGACTACACACATTTACCTGTCAGTATACATGATATGCATTACTGACTGCCAAAACAAACTTCTTCACACTAATTTCTGGTAGGTAGATAGTTTGCCAGATTTGGTCAGCCTCTGTGACAGTAAACAGTAATAAAAGCAAAAACAGTTTAACTTTGTAACAACTTCACAATGGCTATCTATGGAAATTATGGTTTAAGAGCTCTTCTGGCACTCTGGAAGCAAATACCAAGTCTATCCATTTCCAAACCTACCAGTGATTAAACGTTTTATAATAAATACTTATGTACCAATTTGAAGGAGTAGTCTATATATTCCTCAAATAGCTGTTCTCACAGCATATTTTTTTTCCTACAAACAACCCATATTACTATTTTACTCTTGTTACGTGTTAAGAGTTGAAAATAAAGCATACATTTGAGTATGAAGGAAATAATCGGGTTACTACAAGAGTAGATAGCTAATACAAACTTTTCTTTAGATTTCTAGAATATTTTCACCTATGCTACTACTTGAAGTACTAAACTATTGAAGTTGGCAGTACAATAGTTCACAGATCACCATTCCATTCCAACATGAAAGAATGAGAAGCCCGTTTCAAAAGTTTTATTGTTTTGACATAAAAAAAAGTTACAGCTAGTTCAAATATGTACAAGTTGCCATAAAAACAAAGCCATGTTCCATTATACAAAAGCCAAATTGTCATTATGACATGGCTATAAAGATCATCATTTTTAAAAAAACCTCCCACAGGACTAAAAGAACTATTTAAACATTTATGCTCCGGAAGCCTAGTAGCAGCAGTTGTCAGCACATCTCATTACAAAAATCAGGGAGTGATAGTTGGACTAGAGTAAAAGTGGGGCATTTAACTCTCAACAAATAACAAAAGAAGGATCATGGTTGCCGGTCTAGGCTTCGTTTTGGTCTAGGCTTTGTTTTAACAATGATTAAGCGAGCACAACTGACTCCCCTTCAGAAAAAAATCTTTCAAGAGTTAAGATCCATGCCTCCCATGTTTCTGTTGTTTTCTCATCTGAATCACACTCTGTCTTCAGCTGATTTCAGTTATGCGTTCAGTCCTCTATGCATTTCATTCATTTCCTTCATCTGGGGATGAGTGGGGAAAGAGAGCACCGTCAGCTTGGCTATTCAGTTACAACATTTGGATTCCTATATAAATACTCTGCACTTGGAGCTGAAGCAACATACCATGGCATCATTCCATTCAGTAAGAACTGCAAGGCTCATGCAAATACCTCAAGGAATTACGTTTGTAATAAGACAGGACTAACAGTGCTTCCTGTGGATTGCACAGCCTTTGCTACAGATATGTAAAGCGGTACTTGACTCCAGTACTGCCACCCGCCTAAATCCTAGGAAATGCAAATCGCCAATTGCCTCTGAAGCTACTGCAGAAAATACACCGTGGACTACAGAGATGAAAGCGTGGTTACAGAATTTCAGTGCTTTTGTACTCCACTTGATAATATCTGCAGCACCTAATGCAAGCTTTTAACCCATCAGAACTCCTGATCAAGTTTGGATTCTAGCTAACCTGCCCATTTTCCCCAGATAACATCAACAAAAATTACCTCTGCTTTCACGTACTTCCCTTTCCTCCTTCTTGAGAGAACCTGTAAGGAAATGACAGGTTAATTGCGAAGTTTGATTTTGCGAAGTTTGATTTCAAGTGAAGACCTAAATGTGCTTTTTCCCAACACTTCACTTTCCATACAACACCCTTGAGTCATAATGGTGCATCTGTCCATCACCTCTTCTCTACTCTCCAGTCTCAAAAACAATATCAAGCATCATAGTTTACAAAGGAAAACCTTCTTTTGAGAGTCCCATTACCCTGGTGCATTATTTCCCAGATTTCACTATTATTCTGACAGCTTTTTAGAACTTACCAGGCCAATAATTCCAGCAACTACTGCTAGTACTACGATAACAATGACAGCAATAACACCAGCAGTCAGAGACTTCATGGAAAACTCCGGTGGTACTTCATCAACATAGTAGACCATCACATTCTCAAACGTCAGTGCTTCATTATCGATACTCATGTTTAGCGTGTTAAGAAAGATGGGATCACCTTTTACCTAGGGACAGACAGCAAAAGAGACTTGCTTGTTCAGCTGGCAATAGACATCACCCAGGCATTCCAACAATTTATCTTGCATTAACCAGCACACAGTAAGGCTACTGAACATAATGCAATACACACTCAGTCTTTCGAAGACTTTACCCATGGCACTTACATCTTTTTCAAAGTAGTAGGCCACATCAGCTATATCCACATCTCCAGAGGATTTTTCTGAGGAATTTTGCTTCAAATCAATAGTAACAGAGGGATTTTCATACTGAAAAAAGAAACAACCCACACCATTAAAAAAGGACTAATTTAGATCCAACTATTAAATACATAGCAAAATATAATAAAATGTGATCCAACTTGTGAGATTACATTCTAAATCAATTTTATGGTACTTCTCAAGCAAAGTTTTTATAGTATAATTCCAATTCCATGTTTTTGGTGAAAAATAATTCATATATAGACTAAGCAGGCAGACATGCAACTTTCCAATATTTAATTTCAGATACAGCTATTCACTAGTGCTCAGTAAGCAATATTATTTTGAACGCCTACGACAACATACTGTAGCACGTTCACATTTTCAAAGTAATCAACATTTTTTTTTGTTGTGAATATTTCACTAAAAATTATGTGCTTCTTACCACAACACTAGTTATATAGCGTCCATCCAGCATGTAACGACTGGTGATTGTATCCTTAAGAAGTCTGCAAGGATATTAAAACCATAGCTGTTGTTAAAAGCAAAGTACAATTATACAGAACTATTTTTCTAAAGTAGGAAAGGCTAGTAAGATTTTTTTCCTCCTGCAGTGTGTTTGTGAAAAGTTGATCCTAGCTGGCAGACAAGCTCCAGCCCAGCCCCTCTCCCTGCTAGCAGCATGGGAGAGAAGGCAAGGTAACAAGAAAAAACCTTTTACGGGTCATGATAGTTTACTAAATGAAGTGGTGGAAGGAGGAGAGGAAAAAAAAAATCCCCAGCCAGTCTCCAAGCAATAGCTACTCTGGAACCACTCCCCCCCAACCCTGATTTATTGCCAAATACGACATTTTATGATCTGGGGTATCTCTGGTCAATCCAGGTCAGCTGCCTCAAATGTGTCACCTGCCCATCCCCAGCACACTCACCAGGGCAGCAGAGAGACAAAGACCTTGACACTATGTAAGCACTGATCAGCAACAGCTCAAACACCGGTGCTTATCGCTACTGTTTCGGTCACTTCTGCTTTGAAAAAAGTTAACTCCAACACAGCCAGACCCAGCACAACAGAGTTCTGTTAATTCCCAAAAGTGAAGTTGCACTTATGGAAAAATAAACAATTACTGTACTGGCAAAAAGCAGATGACCTAACAGTCTTGAGAATTCACAGGAGAAGAAGCTATACAGTACAAGTAGGATTTTTTTTCCAAGAAAATAAGCAAAATAAACTTCACAGCTACAAATACTTCTCTTGCCTTATGACCTTTGACAAAAAGGTAGGATTTTACTTCAGCCAAAAAATAGAGCTGGCCTGTTTTGTCTCCTGCTGCTTCTTCACAATTCCTCCCTCATCTCTGCCAGTTTAATTTTTTTTTTTTTGACAGTTTCTCCTTATTACCTATCTTCTACTTCTTCCTCTACCAGGAGCAATCAGTTTCCAAGAGAAGATTAATTTCCATTGCAAATGAAGTTTTAAGGACTTTAATAAGTCACATCCAAGATGTCTCATAAACAAATGAGCTCACACGTTTGACAATGCTTTTAAGCACGCAGTTGTTTAGAAGTACATTAGATATCTGATAGTACATGCAGATATTTTCTCAAGACCTTCAAATCATCACTTACTTTGTTAAAGACTGCGCGTTCAGAGGAGTTTTTCTCTCAGTATGCTTCATTTCAATGATGATCCGCCTGAAGTAGGATGTAAATACAGTTAATATTCTTAAAAATACACGCATGTAAAATGCACTCTACTGTTTCTAATCCCACGAGAGGAAGAAAACGCACTGAGGAAAAAAAAAACCAAAGAAACATCTTCCCTCTTCCCCACTGTTTCCAGAGAAAAAAGTGACAAGTACTTATTGGTCCATGTTCAGTCCTAGGGCAATATTCATACCGATAAACCCCCATAAGGCTGATCCAAACACAGGAAGGTTTTCAGGTTACAGCACACCCTGTTGAGAAGACTTACATCGTCCTGACTAATTGATTGCATTTCAGGTCTGTGTCATGTTTGTCAGTTCTTCTAACGCCAGCTGTGTTCACACACCAACAGGTGGTTCCATTGCACTGCTTTGCCTTGAAGACACCATTATTTTCACATTCAGGATCGTAAAGACCATCAGTATCTTGAAACGCATCTTTGGGTTTCTCACGGCGGCCCGATTTCGTGTTTGTCATTTCGGCTTTCATCAACAGGCACTTGGAAGTCACTAAAAATAACCAGAAAGTCACGTTACACAACACCACACCACGAGCGTTCGGAACTCAGGCTGGGAAAGCACAAGGTTACAACAGACGCGACGGCACCCGACGCCATTACAAGGAAGAGCAGGCACCCAAGATGTAGGTGTGCACAACGTCAACACAGCGGGGGCATCTGAAAGTAAATGCTTCAGAGCTCTAGGCTACCTCAAACTAAGAGCAAGGTTTGGGTACAAAAGCTCTAGGTTTGAGGGAGAAGCCGGGATGAGTGCTTCGAAGGAAGCCAAGAATCAGTCTTTGAGACACCCTCGCCATTAGGGATGAACTGTTAAAGAGCAGCCACACGAGTCACACGCTCACAATCAGAAAGGCTCCATCACCAGCCGGTTGCCGTGGGAGTCCTGGGAGAACGATGATCCTGCCCTCTCTATCGTTATCTCTGCCAGGAGCTCACCGCCCGTTTTTACACCTCCCCTCGAGCGCAGCCGGGGGGTTCAAAGCAGCGGGCTTTACTCACGGGTCTCGCAGTTGACGGACACGCTGGAGCCGATGGAATTGCAGTTGCAGACGCCGTCGACCATCCTGCAGTTGGTGACGCGCTTGTTCTTTGTGCAGGTGCACGCTGCGAGAGACGCGCGGCCGTGAGCGCGGCGCTCCCGAGGGCGAGGCCGCAGGGGAAGGGCCGAGCAGCCGCCCCGCGGCCCCCGAAGCGCGACGGCTCCCTTCCCGAAGCACCGCTCCCCCCCGGGACCCCTCCCGCCCATCGCCCACCCGCCAAAGCCGGGCGCCCCGAGCCGCAGCCCCCGGCGGCAGAGGGAAGCGCGGCCGCCGGGCACCGCCGCCCCCGGCCCGGCGGAGGGGGGCGCCATTTTGTGGCGCCGCAGGGGCCGCTCCGCGGGGAGCGAGGGGTCGCGGCGCGGCGGAACGCGGGCACTCACAGTCCTGAGCGCAGGCGGCGGCGCAGAGCAGCAGCAGGAGCGCGGCACCGCGGAGCAGCTCCATGGCTTCGCGGCGGGGAGGGGCCGGGGAAAGGCTTCCGAGGAGCGGGCCGGGGAGAGCGAGCGCTGCGTGCGCGGCGGGACCCGGTGTGAGCCGCCCGACAGGTCGGGCAGGTGGTGGTGCGCCGCGCCCTGCCGGCTCCGGTTACACCTGGGACGGGCGGGGGGTGGCGGCGGCACCGCCTCTCGGACTGCGAGGGCTGTTAAACCGCCTCCTCCTCCTCCCCCCGCACCTGGGCGAAACTGGAGAGAGCAGGGTGGACCCGATCTCACCTACCTTCCCTTCCCCGGCCCAAATATAGCCTCTTCCGGCGGCCCAGCAGGGAAACGAGCTGGGACGGGTGGTGGGAGCGCCCCGAGGCGCGGTCGGTGCTGAGGGAGAGGGGGTGAAACTGCGCGGCTCGGGGGTGTCGGAAGGGGACGGCCATCCCTGCGGGCGGCAGAGCGAGTCACTGGGTCTGCCCTCATCTCGTGGCCGTCGTGCCCTGCCCTGCCTTGTTGTCAGCGCTCAGGGGTGTTCGCGGTCCCCTCTGTGGTCGTGCCGTCGCAGGCTGAGGAGTTGGGGATCAACGTTGCTCAGATTCAGTAAACTTTTTCATAAACACTGAACTCTTTAACAGATATCCTGGTAATCCCTCGGGAAATACCAAACAGGAAAAAAACCCAACTAGATCACCAATGCACACAGAGAATGCTTTCTTAAGGATCTTCTTCTATACACGTATTTCAAAAACAGTACGGTAAACTCCATGCGAGGTCGCCGTGCTTTAGGCCTGCTCTGGAGGGGGCTGCTCTGGCACCAGGGTTTGCACTTTCCTCATCTCATCCAGAAAATGCAGTCTGCTTCACAGAACACAGAATGGTCGGCAGTGTGAGAGTAGAGGAAGACAGGCAGGAAAGGCTGCTGCTGCTGGTTTTAGAATTGCTTTCCAAACTATGACAGTGATGCCAAAGTGTAAAACGAAAGATAGGTAAGGAATACTGAAAGCGTTTTCTGATTATTTTTTTTAATGTATTCGTTTCTTCGATTAAAAAACAAATAGCTGGATCTTTCAGAAAGGTATAGCAGTGTCCTGGAAACTAAGTGGTTTTAGTGAAAGAGAAGACCAGAATGACGTGCTGCATTTGTGAGAAATCAATGAAATTTCCAAAGACAGTCGAAACTTCCTCTTGCCTGTGTTTACACTGGCTGTACAGTACAAACATGTTGCCACTCCTTTTTAGCTGCAGACCTCGGATAATGAAACTGTTTAGAACTTTTGTGTGTTTTGAAAAGTAAGCACAGGGTAGCTATCTTCGTGATCATGTCTCTGCACAGCTGTGTTTGTGCTGCATCTTGGGTTTTGTATTCAACTGTGGACTAAAGGGCTTTGCTGAAATCAAAGAGGAGCTGTCTCATATGGCTCTCAGTTAAATGAGTGTTCTCAGGGGTTTGGTACAGCCTGCTTGAGACTCTTCCAGAATTTTATTGATTTTTCTTGGAGTTTTGAGTGGCTTAATAATACTCTTCTGGTCTAGTTTTAAGCAACTTGAACTAACAGCATCATCTTAGCAATGGGAAGTCTTGGAAAGATTGGAAAATCTCAGCTATAGAATTTTCACAGTATTGCTGTCAGATGATGTCATTCTGCTTAAAGATGGGCAGGGTCAATAGGCTCAGAAAAGCCCATCTGGTTGTAAACTTCATTTTGTATTTAAATTTATTGTTGTTGGTTTCCTTTACCCCCTCCCCCCAAAAAAAAGAACAGTTCCAAACTGCCTCCAAACTCTGGGCAGGTCTTTGCTATCAGCGTACAAAGCCACCACTTTCAGTCTCTGAAGATGGAACACACTTAGGATATTTGTGTGGCCTGAGGAAGCCTGATTCAGTGTATTTTGGTCTTTTGGGGTGACTCATTTCATGCTCGCTCAACCATCAGCAGTAGGAAGCCCTACTGTAACTGCAGTGAAAAGATAGGTGCACTGTATTGCTTTCTGTAGAACAGCATTTAATTTCGCCCCAGTTTGCAGAATGAATGCAGATTTCGTTATCTTTATTTCCTCAGCTTTCCAAATAGAATGAAGTTGTTTGTATGTATCGACATTGCTCAGTATCTTAGAAACAGGGAATTGCTCTCCATGATGTTGTTCCACAACAAAGCATTGGGAGTGAAAAACCATTCTCAATAGCATGAATTTTAGTATCTTTCCAGTTTATTTTGAGGGAAGTTTCTCTATAGAATCCAAGCCAGTGGAGAAGGCACATGGTTAAAATGGTAAAACAATGCAAGTATTTAAATTCCTTAATTACAGACATCCCAGTCAGTGTCTGGAGGGGGAGGGGGGTGTCAGAAATACATTACATTATTCAGTGTCTGTTCTAAAGAAACATTCCTCACTGTACAGCTCTCAAGGTAGGGTCTTGCTCACTGCTTACAAATAGGACAGTTTCATCAGCAGTTGGAGATACCTCTTCTTATCAAATAGCTGAATGCTTATGAAGCAGTACAGTGTAGGCTAGTTGTGGTTTACACTTATTAAGGCATAATTATAGCTCAGACTTATTACAATTTAAATGCTACAAACACTTTACTGGTTCTATCATGCATCAAAAATGTTTTGATCACTATGCTTAGGGGAACATGTAAACCCATTTTTGACAAACTTACATGATCTGTGCTTTCAGCTTTTGCTCTCCAATTTATATCGCCAGATCTATTTAGAGACTAAAGTTAGTTCGCTTCCCAACTAAACTTCAAGAGCTGTGGAGGCCACTGGGAGATTTTCCACTGACTTCACTGAACTGTGGATCACGTCTGAGGAGATAAATCCAATTCTTTCAGAAGCCAGTAGGAACTGGGGTGATAATGGGACCCAGCCTGGGTCTTTACCAAGTGATTTGGGTGAATGGGCTTGTGACACTCCACAGACACAGTAAATGGACAAAATCTGCTTTCAGGGAAAGTTGCAAGAATCTGTGAGTCACTCCTGAAGCACCAGGAAATGCTGAAGGTGGGGCTGTGACATGTATTGTGGTCAACAGATGGAGAGATGAGTGGGGAGAGGATGACAGGTTTCGCTGGAGTATTTGGCAATCTAGCTCTAACTGAGATTTTTCAGAGGCTTCAAATCTAGCCAGTTTTGGGCGTGCTTTTCTGAGGATGACCAAAGGTCCAAAGGTTTGTCCCTAACACATAGGCCATGTATTATGCCAAAGCACAAAAAACAGTGCTGCTGCTGTTTGCCTACAAAATTAACGATTTTTTAAAGTTTGTGATGATTGGTTAAATCTGATGAACAAGCAGAAACAGTTTTGGACACCAGAATGACAAGTTTTTTGTTAACTCAGATGCTTCCTATTATGATACTTGTATAATGTTTGTGTTCTTTTTATTTTTTGTCTTTTTTTTTTATTGCAGACTCTTCAAGGCTACATAGAATGAAGCCCTGAAAGGACCATAGGAAGAGACAAAACTGGAAAATTATATGTAGTGTCCACTATGTGTTTCTGAAGATGCCAGACCTTCACAAACCAATGCGTGCTTCTGCTCGAATAACTGTACCAACACTGACTTTTTTTTGAACAACATTACATAAAGGCAAGTACTATTATGTTTATTTTTGCCTTGGTTCTAGATCATTTTGAATCCTGAAAGTTTATAAATGTAACCATGTTTGTTTGTTTTGCTGGAGTTGTCATGCACACTGGAGATGGAAATTAGATCAGAGGCAGTGGCAACGCTCAAAAGCCTGTTCTCATCTTAGAAGCCCGCAGCTTGGTACTCCATCAAGCTGCAAACTTTGGCTGAAAGTAAGAGTGTCTGAAGCAAGCAGCTGTTGGTTCAGAGGTTCTTAAAACTAGACGGGGTGCAACCACAGGAGAGAAATGCTCATGTAATTAACATGTGTTCTATTTGCATCTTTGAGGATTATAGAAACCAACCTGTCTGATACATCGTGGCATCCTCACCTTTCTTCTAGGGCTTGGTCTTAGCCCCAGTGGGTGGGGTTACTAACTGACTCATCATCCCTCACTTTACTGCACTGGAAACACATCTTCATGACTCTTATACCTACAGAGTATTTAGAACATCTGTTGTCAGCATTCAAAGCTGCTTAAAATGCACAGCATGAGAAGTAAAAACTGGAGTAAGTCTGTATCCAGACTACTTTGTAGCTGAGAGGCAAGCATATTCAAAACAGATGGTTCTGCAGGCAGATAGCTGTCCTGTTTCTCAGTGTGGTGGCAGTACTTCCCTTGTGACCTGGAGGTGTCTGCTATTAAATCTCCTTGTGTTGGATTGAGTGTGCACAGGTCACTACAAGACAAGCTAGAGTAGATCTGTGGTATGTCATTCAGCCAATGCACAGTAGCAGCCTATGGACGGAGTTGGACCTGGCAGTATACAGAAAACATCTATTCCTCAGAGAAAACAGGGTCACAGCAAGCACACAGGCAGTTTCCATGGAGCAGCGAACCTGCTGTAAATCCCCACCCAGTCTTGCCTCACTGCAGCACGTATGTGTAGTCATACCCAAAGCAAAGGTGAACAAATAGACCGATGAGACGAGCAGAAAAATCTAAGCCCACAAACACCACTTAGCAAAGCACTGTGAGCCGCACAGAACAGGGGTAAAGAAGTTAGGTGTGCCATAGCTCACACTGTGTGGTGAAACTGAAATTAATGGCTTTTGTGTTGAAACACCTTTCCTTTCCTACTTTGTCCTGTATTTATTTACTTATTTCTGTTTCGGTTAGCATTAGCTGCTACCAAAGTCCATCTGTTTTTCTTTGCACTTTAATTTACAGCCCTTGTTAGTCATTTTATTGCTTCAGGTTCTGAGGGAGAAAACTTTTACAACTTGTGATTGCTGAATTAAGGAAACCAGAGCTTTTTTGACCTGGCACAGGGGGGTAATTATAGAGCCCATTGCTTCTAGGGAGGGGCATTCAATATTTAACAAACTGTGGCAAGTCTCATTTAACCCTTTGGAGCCTGGACCATTGGATGGCAGTGAAAAAAACACATGTTGAGGCTCTCCAGCTCACAATGTAATTCACCTGTTTTTAGTCTTTTAAGTTCTGCCTTTCTGCTACTGAACTTGAAGCTGTTTCTTTCATCACAGTACTGGGAGGATAGGAGGCAAAATACTTGCATATGAAAACATTTCTTTCCTTACTTCAGAAATTACTGCTGCTACTGTTGGTTAATCCTGTCATAGTCTTCTGAGTGCCCTGCTGTCAAAATAAAGTCTCTTGACAATAGAGAAATTATACTCTCTTAATTACCACTATTGTTTCATATTACAGGGGCTGTGGTCATGGACAAAGATTCAATTGTGTTCAGCAGCATAAAAACAGTATAAATAGATACCTTGTGTTTGAAAGAGTTTGCGATCTGAATTATGCAACCAGTAAACCGTGAGTTAAAGCTGAACTTAGGAATGGGGCACGAGATCAGAAAGATTTACAGAGTTTGTCCAATTACAGAATCATAAGCCAGCTAACTAGACTCTGAAGGCTCTTGCCTATTCCTCATCTACGCAGCCAGCTGTTAGTTCAAGTAATGACAAATTTTCCTTCAGAAAAATACTAGGGTGTTGTTTTGAAGGCACCAAACTTGTTATATGTGTTATTTCCCTAGATAAAAAGATAGATTTATTTACTGGATAGTAAGTTGCCCATATCTGTCACAATATTGTGTATTAATGTGCACATAGATATTAACATTAATGAGACTGTGCATGCATGTTGCTGTTCACTAGACGCGAATGGGAAATTTTCAGTTGGCATGATTTTATATAAACATTTTATTTTATTTAAGTAAAAGCTCTGGAAGTTGAATCGGTTCAGCTATGTTTTCACTGGTAGGATCTTTGAAGACTGGTGTTTGCTTGTTCTTCCTGAGCGGAAAGAGGGAATACCTACAAACTGAAGTGCTTGCATTTGCCAATGCAAATGTGGGTAGTCTCCACATGTGCAATATGCTGGGAGTTCTGGGGCTTGGTCAACACACCTGCTCCTTGCTCCTGCACCTGTATCTTGGGAAGCCTGCTGCTCTGCAGCTGGAAGAAATGGCTCTGGGTCATGGCTGTACAGAGCAGTCTGGTTCATTAGGGCTCTTTGCACAATACAGGATGAAGAAACTGCAAGAGTGCAACTGGGTAATGAATACCCATGCTTATTAAAGCTCACTAACGTGCAAATACACAACTCCCAGTGGCTGCTAAAAGTTAAAATGTTGTGAGAGATATCAGGAGGTTAAAAAAAATAAATAAATCACTATATAGAGTACTGCACACTTCACGTCCTTTCCCCTTAAAGTCAACATGCACTTAAGAGGTGGGAGCTGCTGATGTTGAGAGACACAGCGTTGGTTCCTCATTTGCCTTGCTGTGACATGATGGTGAAGACCTAGCATAGTCTCACCTGTTTATTTTGGCAATTAATTGGAACTCTTGAGGTAAGACTATTTTGTTTCATTTTACAACCAGCACAGAAGAGCCAATCCTTAAAAATAAATCTTAAATGCTTCCACTGTCTGATTTGAATGGGTTAGGTTCATACAGGATATATCAGTCTATTATAGAAGTAGAAGTGAACAGCAAGTTCAAACTTATGTCCTCAGTATTTAATCTAGATGTTCTGCTATGGAGCACCTGGCTGTTCAGAAGCTGCGTGTTTAGACATGCACTGGATTTGCTGGTGACCTTGACATTCTTCTGCCATTTGTTGGTTTAGTCTAGGCAGTACATTTCTTACTCCCTGCCTTATTTCCAAATGATTTTTTAAATATAGTTTCTGAATTTCTCAGCTCCCAAGAGCAACCAGAGCTATTCTTGACTTTACGTATTAGAAAACCCTGATGAATGTTTAGAAGTTCTTTTCAGGTAAACAAAGCAGACAACAATTTCCATGTCCATCCATCCATCACTGACATATACTTAAGTGGCAGTAGAGCATTTTAATTTTAATCACACGGTAGCATTTGTTGACAGCAAGGATTTATCATGAAGGCTCCTTTCTCACATCATTAGCTGCTGGTTAGAGTACCAAACAGGTAAGCCATATTCAGGCTGTTATGTGTGTGGCCCTAGTCCAGGAACCCTAGTGCTGCAGTGATGTGCTGTTTCATGCAACTCCTCTAAATCCTTACTCTCCCTCCCCACATAAAGAAACAGGTTGCTAGTGAGAGATGTGGATTCAGGTCATTTATGTGTTTCTTTTTAAATTTACTGAAACTCAATGTGCTTTACTACAGCTTAGATTCTAAAATAGTTAGCGTATGTCCAGAGTTTCATCTTGAGATGAATGCTTGCATTTCGCTACATGTCTTAAGGAACAGAGTCCTCATCCTGCATGTTTCATTTCATCTATAACGTGTTTGACTGAAGCTGGGTTCCCCTGACAAGGCCAGGAGTTCTCTCTACAAGGAAGAGAACTGTTCTTTTTTTTCCTTCTCATCTCACACTTGGCGATAAGTAGGAAAATTCTATAATTGGAAAAATGCATATTTTATTGTGAACAATGATCTGTACTTAGAAGAACCAGCTTCCTGGCCTCCTGAGAAGAGATAGACCAGGTATTCTTCCAGTGGGACTTTATCTTTCTCAAACAACAACAAAACCCCACTAAAAAGGATACCGGATGTCAAAGGCATTTGTTTTCCTCCTGTACAAATATTTCTTCTGCCATACTTATTAATCTATATGTAAACAACTCATTCACTGAAAATTCCTTAATTGTTATTTTGTAATTTAAATTAAGTATACTGCCTTCCCCTCGCCTTTTTGGACCTAGCTACTGAGTAGCTATGTAACCCTGTGTCACATAATTGAGTTCCAGTGCATGAATACAATCTTCTTTTTTTCTTTTCTCAAAAATAAGATTCTGTAAAAATTCAAACACAGATCTTAATCATTATGTATAGAGAAAAGCACAGTTCAAACTGTAACAGCAGGTAGAGATGAAGATAGCTCGACTGATCTAACCTCTTCCTTTAGGAAGGATTCAGAATTAAGTACAGTAACAAAGCCAGGGAGGAAAACAGGGAAGTGCTGCGTTGTCTCGGTTTGAATTGAAACAGTGCCCCCTGATGTTCACTGAGCTACTTGCAAATCAGAGAACTAATGACTTCCTTTCAGATACGCTTGGATGAACTGTTAAACGAACTCCTGGACGCTGTGGTTAATGATATGCCAGGATGAGAACCGGTTAAGTCCTCTGTACCGTACGCAGGATCTACAACCTGGTAAAGTTTTGTTTTCTTGTTTTTACCCTGTTAAATGACTTCTTATCATATACCCAGTAGAGTATGTAAGATGCACAACTCAAGAATACAACACAACTGTTCATTAGCAAACATACATAGAGCTTCAAGGTTAGGCATTAGTAAGCTCATCACCACCAAAGAGAGGTCAGAGCACGTTTGCTATCCAGATCAGCATGCAGGAGGGTTTTATCTGCCCATGTGGCTGCCTGGAGCAAACCCTCAGTTGGGCTGAGCTGTCAGCTGTTTCTTCCTTCTGGGCTTTTGCCCTTCCATGTCAATGTTTCTCCATGATGCTTCGAGGTGAATGCTTGAGTCATCCCCATCTCAACAATCCTACCTTAGTCTCTAGGTTCTCTCTTCAAGAAGAGAAATGCAAAACTGCAAACTTTCTCAGTGTTTTGTCTCACAACTTCAGTTTCCTCAGAGTCTTGAGACAAAGTTACAAGGCTGGTCTGTATTACAGCTCAGCCCTGGCTCGTGGGAGGTGGGAAACTGTGCAGGTGTTTGCAGAGAGTGGATCACAATGCCTCTAGAATCTGCTTTGTAACCTCCTTTTACCTGGTACTGCGAGGAATACAAATCAGAAGATGCAAAGAATAAGAATGTATGTACTTCAAAATTACTACTGCAAATTTATGTTTTGCAGAGTGCAAAACACGACAAAAGCTTTCTCCCTAGCTTCAGTGGTCTCTCAGGCTATGCGTATATTTCAGTAACATCTTTTTTCTTTGCCTTCCGCAGTTATCAAATGATTGGTAGTAGAGTACTTTGAGTTCCTTAGATGAAAACTATTGAGCACAAATGAGAGTGTGTTCTCTCTCTCTCTCTCTCTCTTTCTTTCTTTCTTTCCTTCTTTCCTTCTTCCTACCTTCCTACCTTCCTTCTTTCCTTCTTTCTTTCTTCCTTCCTTCCTTTCCTCCTTTCCTCCTTCCTTTCTCTC